CCGCCGTCATATAGCTGTAATATTGCTGAGTGCGGCGTTAAACAACAAACCAACAACCAACATTCTGTCGGCGGAATAAAAATACAAACTTGCAATGATGATTTTTTTTTCAGTTTACATTATTTGACATGTTAAGCTTGTGGATCCTTAACCATGTTAACCAAATAAAAACAAGTGTAAGGCCTTAGCATAGTTTTTGCCTGTCCTTGCGATACCTGAATGTGGAAGTATATATACAGCATCAATGTTATCAGCGGGAGCTTCTCTCCTATGAAGCTGACAACTGACAAGTACTTGCTCACCCCACACGGTTTGTGTATCTTGTTTATTGGTTCGTCATGTGCACTTGCTTTGGCCATATGTTTGGCCTCATTGGCTGGACCGAGATAAGATAAGATACATTTTATTGTACGTATACCATGTATACACCCACTGTGGGCCAGGTACGGAAACAAATGAACACATTGTATATTAGGACAGTTGAAGATGGTAAGCAGTAAGGATAATAATCATGATAATCATGGTAATGAGACACTGTGAGAAAATATAATCAGGTAATAGCTCAGTAATAGCACCTTGGTTTGAACCTACCGTATTCAACGTAATAAGTGCCCGCTCTAATAAGCGCCCACGGCGATATTTGCTAATAAATTGGCTCGTGAACAATCCCAATTAGCACCCTTTCCGATTGATCAATGTACACAATACTTATTTATTCGCGTATAATACGCACTCGTGTGTAATATGCACCCTCAATTATTGGCAATTAAATTTTTGAAAATATATCTGTCGTATATTAACATTTCAGGCTATCAGCATAAACCACGAAATTTATCTTTCAACTCTTTTTTTCCGACAAAATAATATTCTAATAAGAGCCCCCTATTTCTAATTTTGAGAGCGCCTTGGGCGCTTATTACATCGAATATGGTATATAGAGAGTGCATATTGATGCATTTGAATATGCAGAGTATTAATCGGGCTATAGGGGCTGAACAATCAGTTGACTTATGCGGACCATGGTGGCGCCTTGTTGGATGAGGGGAAGGAAGATGTATCGCCTGATGCTGGCTTATCTAGGTTCGCAGACAGGGAGACCTTTAGACTAGTTACTGACTCACATTCAGATTTCGATCATTCATCCCTAATGAGGTTAGTGGCTTATGGCTTAGCCTCATTGAAAAGTGTATGTTTTGATTAAGAGTGGGTGCATGAGTGTCTTAAGTGTCTAATTTCAGAGTATCAGCTGATTCTAGCAGAAATTGGCTAAATTTTAATAAGGAATTTTGGCACATTAATGCATAAAAATGCCATGGTTAGCCAATCAAATGCCACAAATCACTTGTAATTTATTTGTTCTGGTTAAATTTTATTGGGATTCTTCGTTTATCTTTGTAATATCTATGGGATGGAGGTTGTTTCCTTCTGTATATTATGTTTATGAATTTATTGAATGTCTTATCCAGGTTTTATACAAATTTCAACCATGCTCTGACCAAAAGAGCAAAGTGTCAAGGTTTGACATGTAGATAATACAGGGCAACTGATGTCACAGTTTCGGTTAGAGACGACCAGACAAATACCGTATTCGACGTAATAAGGGCCCAGGGCGCTCTCAAAATTAGAAATAGGGGGCTCTTATTAGAATATTATTTTGTCGGAAAAAAAGGAGTAAATTTTGTGGTTTATGCTGACAGCCTGAAGCGTTTATATACGAGAGATATATTTTTCCAGACTTTAATTGCCCATAATTAAGGGTGCATATAACACACGAGCGCGAATAAATAAGTATTGTGTACATTGATCAATCGAAAGGGGTGCTAATTGGGATTGTTCACGAGCCAATATATTAGCAAATATCGCCGTGGGCGCTTATTAGAGCGGGGCGCTTATTACGTCGAATACGGTAAGTGTTTCAACATCCATGGCTGGTTAAGCGAGCCTTTTTTCTTTCGAATGCAAGTTTTAGGCTCAGTGAAAAAAATCTTTTTGGACAATTTCAGGAGAAACTGTAACTATAAGGAAGTCTGTGAACCAAGATGAATGTTTACCATATGTGTGTACAGTCTATATCTACCATATATATATCTACCATACCAATTGATCAATATACACAAGACTTATTTGTTCTTGTATAATACGCATTCGAGTGTTATCATGGTTATGTGCACCCTTAATTATGGGCAATTAATTCTGGAAAAATATATCTGTCGTACATAAACATTTCAGGCTGTCAGCATAAACCACAAAATTTATCTTTCAACTCTCTTTTTTCCCCACCAAAATAATATTCTAATAAGAGCCCCCTATTTCTAATTTTGAGAGCGCCATGGGCGCTTATTCTGTCAAATACAGTATATCTCATAGGAAAATTGCTGATGTTTAAATTTAAGAAAACTGGTTCCTGAAAACCTCTAAAAGCTGCCTTTTTGACACATTTTAGCTAAGTTGCACCAAACAAAACCAGGTTGCACGCTGGTCTCGTACATTTATCAAAGTTGAAACATAGGCCGGTTTGCTGCCCGTGTCATGTAAGTTATGACGCTTTGCTGTAAAACGTAATAGGAACAAGTGCACATCATCTTGAAGTGCCCACAGTTTGATGACATCAGAAAGCATGACAAATTACACGTAACACAGGTATTGGTGATGTAGTGTGGTAAATTGAGTGTGTGGACAAGTAAGGGTTAGTCAGACACTAAATTAGTCTTTTAATAGGTGACGATGCTTGTAAGAGGCGACTTACGGGATCAGGTGGTCTGGCTCTCTCACGGACTTGGTTGATGGATGTCATCGTATCTCAATTGCATAGATCAATGCTCATGATGTGAATCACTAGATTAACTGGTCCAGGCTTGATTATTTACAGACCGCCGTCATATAGCTTGAATATTGTTGAGTGCAGCATTAAACATCAAACAAACAAAACAAAATATTTTTTTTTACGTGCACTTGTTGCTTGTTGACATAAATATTAGGCTGCTTTTATAATAATAGATTGCACTTGTGCATGTTTTATAAAGCTAAATCGAGCCAAGGACCCCGTTCTTAGCCCTACGACGGTCGTAAATCAATGTTAAAGAATGGGAGTTATGATCGACTTAGCCCTAAGATCGCTTTGTGGAACGAGGCCCTGAACAATGTATTTTCATCATTAGGTTAACAACATGTGTTGTACAGATACTTCACATATACTGTAGTATAGTTATGCACAGATACATGAATCGTCCTGTGGTGAATTAACAACGCGTGTGGCCTGACGTTGATTAATGAATAATTTGCATACTCGTATATGCAAGGGGCCGACGTATGGTTCTCAGTAGAAAGTGACAACTTGGAGACGATGGCTTGCGGTATATACAGTGTTACTTTATAAATGTAGATATATACATACAAAAGACACTATGTGCCAGGTTAGCACATAGTGGTTGTGGTTGTTGTCTAGGTGCCCCAGAGCACCCAGCCAAACCCTAGCTAGGCTAAGGGTAAGACCTTTCTTTTTTCCTTTTTTCTCAATCTCTCTGGACCAAGGCTTATTTAGCCAAGGTCACCTGACATTTAGTGAGTAATAAATATAGATATAAACAGTAATTCATCAGTGACATACTTGCACATCTCGTTCAGGATGGCAGACGGTCGATGTACGCAAAAATGGGGATTAACAAATAGGATTAGCATCTTATTAACAACAGCAATTAAGCGTTTCAAGGCATATAGATGTCATGGCTCCAGGGTAATGAGCCTTTGCAGTTAAATGTTCTTCAGACAATGGGTGTCGTAAATCAGTCACTATGACAGAATCCTTACACCTCTTTTGTTTCATTGTCCCATTGGCCATGATGTAGAAAGTCAGATAGACCTCATCCTGTGTGCAAACTGCTGTACAGCTTTAGTGTGTAAGGTGTGAGTAGTGAGTGAGTGAGTGAGTGAGTGAGAGAATTGGGTTCATCACTGCTTAGAACAGTATTCCAGTTATATCACATATCAGCTTAATGTGGAAGGAAAGCTCTAGGTGATGCAGGTATAGCGGCCATAAAATTTCCGAGTCCCGTGATGGGATTCGAACCACAGACCTTCTGATCAGAGGTCTGACGCCTTGTCCACATGACCAAAGAGGTTAACCCCGTCAGCAAGCTGACAAGGTAAGGATGTCATCTGTGGGATGACTCCACGCCCTGCTACATACTCCCCCGTCAACAGAAGGCATGTCCCGGGCCGCATAGTAGGGTACTGAGGCTTATTTTGAGTCCCGTGATGGGATTTGAACCATGGACCTTCTAATACGAGGTCGGACACCTTGTCCACATGACCAAAGAGGTTAACCCCGTCAGCAAGCTGACAAGGTAAGGATGTCCACGCCCTGCTACACAGGTCTCAGACGTTTACCACTTTGGTGAAACCCACGGGTATGGTGCTGACAAACCTAGAAATATAATCTGCGTGAACTGGGATTCGAATCCATGATCATAAGTTTCTAGCATGTACAAGGGATGCAAATTCCCAAATTCTATATAAGCAACCCCTAAAACCCCCCTCTTGGGTTGCACAGACCACCTTCGCCCCTTTCGGAAACACATTAAATGGCCTGGCCGGGCCCGTGTGCGAAATACGCATCAGTCGGAAAGCGCACGTTAAATCTCCAAAGTAAGTAAGTAAGTAAGGGATGCATCTCTACACCACGAATAGCGAATTAGGTATGAAATGGTCATGGTCAGGTGACTCATTGGAGTTATGAAGCTTAAGGATTCTTGTTGCAAGAGATAATTAAAGTGGTTTTAGCTCTGTGACTTGACTGATTGACCATACCAGGATGGTGCGATTGATGATTGTGTTTTCAGTCACCGGTGTGCCTCGTTCAGACTTGATCATACACCGGTCACATCGATATAGCTGAACTATTGGTGTTCTCAGTCAGTGGGATAAGATATCTTCATTGATTTGCATGGACAAAGCATCATACAGTTGGTGAAGGCGTATAATAAGGTGTGTTCATTTTGCAGGAACAGTGATAAGAGAAAGGAGAAGTCCCGAGATGCGGCCAGATGTCGTCGCAGCAAGGAGACAGAGGTGTTTTACGAGTTGGCCCAAAATCTGCCGTTGCCGAGCAGTGTCAGCACCCAACTTGACAAGGCCTCCATCATGAGGCTGACCATCAGCTTCCTGAAGATCTGCAAGATTAGAGAGGAGAAAAAGTGGCACGGTAAGCTCCAGACTATCATGTAGTCCATGCAATTAAGTGTTGTAGAAGGTTTGGTAAAAAAGCAATACTGTATAAAGGAATGCTCAAGTATTAATCATAATTTCAGCTTGGTGCTGGATGAATATTAGATGCTAGATTTGAGAAGGGGATGGGTATTGACTGCTAGATCTTAAAAGGGAAAGAGTATTGACTGCTAGATCTGAGAAGGAAGAGTATTGGCTGCTAGATCTGAGAGGGGGAGGAGTATTGGCTGCTAGATCTGAGAAGGGGGAAGAGCATTGACTGCTAGATCTGAGAAGGGGATGGGTATTACTGCTAGATTTAAGAAGGGGATGGGTATTGACTGCTAGATCTTAAAAGGGGAAGAGTATTGACTGCTAGATCTGAGAAGGAAGAGTATTGGCTGCTAGATCTGAGAGGGGGAGGAGTATTGGCTGCTAGATCTGAGAAGGGGAAGAGTATTGGCTGCTAGATCTGAGAAGGGGAAGAGTATTGACTGCTAGATCTGAGAAGGGGATGGGTATTCTAGGTAAGATCTGAGACAGGGATGATGGGTGTGATTGTTTTATAGAAAATGTGCCCTTGGATGAATCGCCAGAGCGTCAACCTATTCCAGTTTCTGCACCCACAGAGAAACCCTTCAAACACAGGAAACAGCCTCCATCCTTAACCACAAGTGGAGCACTGCTCATTTAGCTTATCGCAACCATGTTGAACTGCAAGCACTCCAACCTGTTCCAGTTTCCTGCCACTGGGACCGATTTGTTGTATAACTGAGCAGCCCTATACACCAGCCGCTGATGAAGCTATGTGCTTGCCGGGTCTCATCTGTATCTGTAATGCTGATGTCTGCAGATAAGGACGGCAATTACGTGAAGGCTTCCTATCACTTTCCTAAACTTTTGTGATATATATGCTGATGTTGAGAGGCAGTAAATAAGGACTGTGCCTTGTTAGGGGAGGTTTATGGAGAGGGGTTATGTGGAAATCAGCTCATGGCAACAGCAACATGGCCAGATACATCTGATGCTGTCATGGGACTGTGACGATGCTGTAGTTTAGTGTTAGCTCTCAGAACAAAATAACAATGCTTTGTTGTTATTCCAGCTATATGATGGCGGTCTGTAAATTATCGAGTCTGGACCAGACAGTCCAGTGATTGACATCATGAGCATCAATCCACTCAATTGGGATCAATGACATGCATCAACCAAGTCAGCGAGCCTGACCACCCGTTCCTGTTAGTCACCTGTTATGACAAGCATAGTCGCCTATTATGGCAAGCATTGGCTGCTGAAGATCTATTCTAACCGGATCTTCACGGGTCACAAAATAACAAGAACATTAGAAGGTGGTTGAAATTGAAGGGGTGTTGACTCAATCCTATTCCCAGGATAGGGCTTGAGTAGAAAGAGCATTTTTTGGTCTCTAGGTGTGTAGTATAGGTGCAGAATGACATTTTCCCAAAGTAATAAACCACTAGAGCAGTGGTTGGAATAATTTTTAATCCCAACAAGACAGTCGGGCAGATGACCCATAAGTGTTGCCTGCCCATCTTGAAAGTTACCTGCCCACATTCTGGCATTATTAATAATGAAAATCCAGAAAAACTAAGGGACAAATCAAATTGTGATTCACTTGAAATAATGGAAACAATTACTTGAGAATGTACAAGGAGTTATAATAAAACTGAATACCTAGATAAGTCTTAAAATTACTGCCAGACAGTCAGGCAGGTGGATGAAACATTCTGCAGCCCGACAGAAAAGTTACTAGTCACGGGCAGGTGGACAAGCAGTTATTTCGGACACTGTGCTAGAATATGGTCATGCTGCTTTCACAGTGATGATAAACATAAATATTCAAAGCACAGGTTGATTTATTAATGAATTGAATATGGCGTCAGTGAACCTTCTCTGACTCTAGAAGGGGGCACGGTTGGCCCAGTCGTCTAAGGCGCCACAATTCTAGAATTCTACAATTCTATGATTGTGGGTTCGAATCCCGGTTCGCCCCAATTATGTTTCCAGGTTTGTCAGCTCCATACCCGTGCTCATGGGTTTCACCGAAGTGGTCAACGTTTGACACCTGTATCACTTCGGGCTTTCCTCCCTGTGCAGAGTTGTGTCCCTTGGGCACGCCAGAAACCTATGATTGTGGGTTCGAAACCCAGTTCGCCCCGATTGTGTTTCTGGGTTTGTCAGCACCATACCCGTGCTCGTGGGTTTCACCGAATTTGTAAACGTCTGAGACCTGCATCACTTCGGGCTTTTCTCCCCCATTAAGCTGACACGCTGCAATATAACTGGAAGAATGTTAAATCCAACTCACTCACTCTGACTCTAGAATGTAAATCATAGTATGTTGGTGATAAGATCCACAAGTTCTGGTGGTGTGTTGGCGAAAGTGGAATGTCCTCTGTTGGACTAAATCTCTAATTTACAGATAATGGGGGATCAGGATACAGCCCTCTGCCTTAGATCTTGCTATAGCCCGTAGTTTTAATTGAATGTTCATGCCATCAAGTGTTAGGTATCAGCATTGAAATAACACAAGGAGCCCTCCACATGCATGTGTACAGACAGATAACATATGTGCACTTAAACATTATGAATATTAGTTTACTCAGTAGGAGTAGTTTGTTTGCTTAGGTGATTAATACGTTTTTAGTTTGTTTATGGAACTTTGTTTTGTACTTAGAATATCAGTGATCAAAATATATAAAAAAAATTCTTAAGTGCCCTCACGAGGCACATAAATGTCGCCATTTTCCCACCGAAACAACTGCGCAAAACGTTATGTCGAATTAAAGGGACATAACTCTTTCTACATTTCTACAACTTTTATGGATAAATGTTTGTATTTCGTATTTCGCGATGAGTCCTCTTTTTGACTAAAAGTTTACTTCAGTGATATTTCATGTTAACTTATTTTTTAATTTCGTTTTTATACTATAACATTTGGAAATACTAAAAAAATCTCAGAAAAGTCATTGTATTTTCATATTTTTATTTTCATTTTTACATCTATGAAATCACGAAAACTAGAATAATCACATTACGAATTGGTACTGTTCATAAGCTTATAGCTACTTTCCAAATAGAATTTTACCATGACGTCTGATGCCAAATTAGGTATTATTTGTTCATTTTGTGGCCAATATTTAACAGAGCCCTCATCAAAGCTAAATCTAATTTTCCAAATCTTAAGATTACAAACACACGATCCTGTTTACAGTCGACTGTTCCTTGAAATACAAGCAGCAGGATGTGGTGAAGTGTTGACTTTCCTTCCTGTGAACTTTTTCCACTGGAGCCACTTGATACTATGATCTATATATGGCAATGTATTCGCCCAGACCACGTGTCAGTCCTAGTAACCCTACTAGTTTCAAATCTCGAACAATTTCTGTGGAGTAAAAAAAATAGTTGGGTTTAGTGTCAGTGTGGACAGTAGTTCAGTTATATCTGGGCAGGTCAGTTTTATTAGGTAGTGGACCTTAACACCAGAAAGCATGATGCTCACCAACTGTGGATTGGTACCTATGACCAGCAGTTCCTGTAGTAACTAAGGGAGGTAACTCTGAAGCTGGTGTTTCTTGCATTTCCAGTGTACTCAAGTCGGGCCATGTTCATTTTGTTATGTTATTTTCTTCAAATATTTCAAGACTGTTCTCGTGGATAGAGCGTCTGCATGGAGCTGGGTACTGATGGGTTGATCCCCAGCAGTGTCATACGAAAGGACTTATGTCCCGTAAGTGTGCCAGGATGTGCTGATCATGGCTTTGATTCCCAGATTCCCTCGAATTATGACCCGAAGTGGTTTGTCAGCACAATGCCCTTACTGGTAGGTTCACCAAAAGGCTGTGGCCTGCATATCTTTGGCCTTCCATTTCACATCAACTTACATGATTTAATAAACCTGAACACCTTACTCTCACACTTCCTCCTCAAAGAGCTACCATCTAAGGGAGATAACTTTGTGCAGCATTGCCACCACCCATCTCTGACTTCCACCCACATCCCCATTGAAGATAGCAGAGGTCACAGTGACACTCAATACCCAAAACATGCAACCCACATGAGCCAGTCAAATGTACAGATTGAAATATGTTTGTTGAAGGACACGTGCTGCTTTATGCTATCGTTGCTATTTTTGCCGGGGCCCCTATCATAGATAATAGACATCCTTTATCTACTGATACAACTCATACGTCATGGAACAGGTAGTTTTTTGGGGAAGACATATTTTATAATGTTTACTTTAGTTTTTGACAACTGTCACTCATTTGATACACCCTTTCCTTCCGCAGAAGTGGTGAAGTGGCAATATACTCCGTGGTCACTCCTTGTGTAGTGTGACGTCGTAGATGGTTCAGTCACCATGCACTGGATGCCCCCAGTGGGGACTGGTGGGACAATAGTGTTGTTTAACGACACCGTCAGCATATTCCACCTGTGTCCAAGTGGGCCCTAAGTAATCGAGTCTGGTCAAGTCAAGTGACCAATGGTCTTGCCCGCATCAGCAAAAATACATGCTGCCAACGTTTGATTTCATACCATTAGTCAGGTTTATAATCATCAGACTTTCTTCATGCTCTACCTGGGGCATGGGTGGCCCAGTCATCTCAGGCGCTGCGATTCCCTGTGCAGAGTTGTGTCCCTTGGGCACGCCAGAAACCTATGATTGTGGGTTCTAATCTCGGTTCGCCCCGATTATGTTTCCAGGTTTGTCAGCTCCATACCTGTGCTCATGGGTTTCACCGAAGTGGTCAATGTTTGACACCTGCATCACTTCGGGCTTTCCTCCCACATTAAGCTGACATGCCGGGATATAACTGGAATACTGTTATAAGCGACGTTAAACCCAACTCACTCACTCACTCACTCACTCACTCATGCTCTACCCTGCACTTCCTGCTGGGTACTGGAGACCTATTCTACCCTGGACTTCCTGCTCGGTACTGGGCACTGGAGACCTATTCTACCCTGGACTTCCTGATGGGTTCCGGGTACTGGGGACCTATTCTACCCTACACTTCCTGCTGGGTTCTGGGTACTGGGGACCTATTCTACCCTGCACTTCCTGCTGGGTACTGGAGACCTATTCTACCCTGGACTTCCTGCTGGGTTCTGGGGACCTATTCTACCCTCGACTTCCTTCCTGCTGGGTACTGGGCACTGGAGACCTATTCTACCCTGGACTTCCTGATGGGTTCCGGGTACTGGGGACCTATTCTACCCTACACTTCCTGCTGGGTTCTGGGTACTGGGGACCTATTCTACCCTGGACTTCCTGCTGGGTACTGGAGACCTATTCTACCCTGCACTTCCTGCTGGGTACTGGAGACCTATTCTACCCTGGACTTCCTGCTGGGTACTGGAGACCTATTCTACCCTGGACTTCCTGCTGGGTACTGGGGACCTATTCTACCCTGCACTTCCTGCTGGGTACTGGAGACCTATTCTACCCTGCACTTCCTGCTGGGTTCTGGGTACTGGGGACCTATTCTACCCTGGACTTCCTGCTGGGTTCTGGGCATTGTAAAATGTATTTTTAGTTTAACGCGCACTTATTAAACTATTTGGAAATGTTGATGTGATCTGTGCATCCGATCATTATTTTATCTTGCTAGAAGTGTAAAATGAGCTTCTGACGTGACCATTGTTGTCATCTCGTTGTTGGCCATATGCCTTTTGCCTTTTCATTTTGTCTAGACGTTCCTGATGGATTGGCCTGCAATATGTAGCAGGTGTCCCAACCATGGAAGCCAGGGTGCTTAAGCTTAAATATCAATCAAAATGTTTTATGTGTTGTCATGGACAATAATATGGCTTAGTGTTATTATTTTGTTTTCCTTGGAAACCATAATAAGAGAGCTGTTCTTGTTGCTGACATTATCAATCCCTGGATTGTCTGGCCCAGATTCTATTATTTACAGGTAGCCGTCATAGCTGGAATAATATTGAGTGCCAGTCTAAACAACAAACAAACATATTTTCTATGCTTGCAATGTATGGGAGTAAAGAATATTAATTTATAAAAACAGATGTTCAAGCACATAAATCAACATTCCTTGTTTAAAGATTGTCAGCGTTTAGTTTTGTCATGCAACACTGTGTTGCAGGGGTCCCAGATATGGAGAAGGAAATATCATAAAAGAAGTAAAAAACACACACAGAATTGATCATCTAACCTCAGCTGTGAAACTGTGTCATTGCCAACTATTGCATCTAGCCCAGCTGCACATGGAGCATACATAACATGGAAAGAGAGACAATGTTTGGCTGGCATGAAAGGTCACATGGAGGTTGCTCAAGCATTGCTGTGCTGTTGTCAGCCATTGACAACTGTCTGACCTGTTGAGAGGTCAAAGTCATGAGTATCCCCAGAGCTGTGGGGGCAGTCGGGTAGCCTAGTGGTTAATGCGTTCGCTCGTCACGCCGAAGACCTGGGTTCGATTCCCGGGTACAATGTGTGAACCCTATTTCAGGTGTCCCCCCTCCGTGATATTGCAATTACATTTGACATTTATTTAAGAAGGAATGTTTTTACAACTAATTCTTGTACCAGGAGCATGTAGAGGATATCCTGAATTGACCTTTGGAGGATAAAAGCCTCAATCTTTTACAAACTGATGGCTCTTGAAACTAATTTAGTTGACAATCAAACAACACACTGGTTGATGATCTTGACTTTTGCTCCATTTACTTGTATGTGTACACAGCGAGCCTTAGGAGTGCTGTTCAGAGCTTGAGGTAGTCACATGTACATCTCTGTATTCAGATGATGAAGAGCAGTGTGAGGATGGTGAAATTGAGAAGCGTCTTCATCAGATGTACCCAAAAGCCTTGGAGGGATTCGTCCTCATCCTCTCTCGGGAAGCCGATATCGTATACCTGTCTGAAAACACAGCCAAGTATCTCGGCATCCAACAGGTACAGTACTCAAAGTATTAATCGTTTTTGTTACAAAGCTTGTTATGTTCATACGAAATCACAAGATTGTGGTGATATTAAGTAGCACATGCCTGCAAGGTAGTTTGCTCATGGAAAGTGTTAAGGTCACTGTCAATGACATCTATTCATGAGATGGTTTGAATCAGTGTCAGATCCTTTCATTCCACCACCAACTTGTGCAGGCCATCTAGATGTGATGAGACCCGTGAAGATACCGGGGTAGAATAGATCTTCGGCAACCCGTGCTTGCCGTAAAAGGCGACTATGCTTGTCGTAAAAGGCGACTAATGGGAATGGGTGGTCAGTCTCGCTGACTTGGTTGATGCATGTCATCGATCCCAATTGCGTGGATCGATGCTCATGATGTAAATCACTGGATTGTCTGGTCCAGACTCGATTATTTACAGACCGCCGTCATATAGCTGTAATATTGCTGAGTGAGGCGTAAAACAACAAACCAAACCAAACCAGATGTGATGATTTTACTGTCCTTTTTCAGATTGAACTGATGGGACAGAGTATTTTCGACTTCACTCACCCGTGTGACCATGACGAGATCCGTGACATGATGTCAGACCGCCCCCACGGCGCCAAGGCCGTGTCTGAGGAGCGCACGCTCTTCATCCGCATGAAGTGCACGCTTACCAGCAAGGGCAAGAGCGTCAACCTCAAGTCTGCAACATACAAGGTACGAGCTGAACAAACTGTAGGTCCTTTAGATAACTGAGACACAGACCAAAGTATATCTTCTGGCATAGTGTATATTTTCATATTGGATTGGATCGTTGAATTGTAATTGTTTTATTTTGCCCTCACTGTTGAAGGATTGATAATTCCGGATTGATGCCCTTGGTCCATCAACACTGGACAAGTGAGCATCACCTGAAATGTTTTTCCCCCACATCAAGCTGACTCTGTGATATACCGTATTCGACGTAATAAGTGCCCAGGGCGCTCTCAAAATTAGAAATAGGGGGCTCTTATAAGAATATTATTTTGGTGGAAAAAAACAGAGTTGAAAGATAAATTTCGTGGTTTATGCTGACGGCCTGATCTGTTTATATACGACAGATATGTTTTTCCAGGATTTAATTGCCCATAATTAAGGGTGCATATAACACACGAGTGAGTATTATGCACGAATAAATAAGTCTTGTGTACATTGATCAATCGGAAGGGATGCTAATTGGGATTGTTCACTTGCCAATATATTAGCAAATATTGCTGTTGGCGCTTATTAGAGCGGGGCGCTTATTACGTCGAATACGGTAGCTGGGATACTGTGTCTGTTATATATTACTCAAAAGAAGTAAATGACAGATTAACTATAGTAATATGAAAAAATCGGGTGGTCCTTAACTTCTTTTGAGTAGTATATTAGTAAACCTTACTCACATCTCTCAAATGCAAAAACTGCCTTGGTTCTGAACCAGTATAACACTTTCATTTTCTAAAGGATAATTTTGTCCAAAGGACCCCCCCCCCCCCCCCAAGGCGTCTTAATAGAATGTAAAGTATTTTATCCAAATGCTATATACGGATATATTTTGTTGAAATTGTGGAATCCCAGGGAATAAAGTGTTGAATTCCTGTTGAAGGCTGTGGTCAGTGAACACAGTGCAACAGATGCACCTTCTTGCACTACTGCTGACCGTAAATCATTGAAACAACAATTGCAGCCATTGCAGCCATTGCACCCAACAGTAAAAGTGCCTGTTCTGAATAAGTGCAATGTCATGTGATACACCTTTCGAAAAAACAAACCCCTGCCTTGAAAACAGACTTTGGCAAATGCTAGATTGAAGAAATATATCTGTTCTGTCCCCTTTTAATACTTGCCATCTCCCTGAAAGAAATGTCTGACTTGAACTAATACTGGGTCTTACGCCCTTCTGAAACATATAAACCCTGGTTCTTATTCAAGTATTTGTGGTAAACAGTTAATTGAGATGAGCACAGGAAACAGGTCAGGGAAATTACTGCATCAGCCGTCCGACAGCTAATTATATAATATCCTGTTGACTACAAGCAGTGTCATGGATAGAAGGTCACTGTCAGCTTCTTGGAACTGATGGTCAGGTCCCCGTTCCACAAAGCGATCTTAGCGCTTCGATTGTCGTAAGTCAGTGTTAAAGAATGGGAGTTACGATCGACTTAGCGCTAAGATCACTTTGTGGAACGGGGCCCAGACCTGTAGACACTTATCCAACAGAGCAACCATTGTTCTCCAAGAGATGGCGTTGAACAATTTGAACAGCTATCTGAAGTATGCCCCTTTAAGGCTGAGACAACCTATTTATGACTGTGACTGAATTGATATTTGTTTTATGGTTTTGGGTATATGGCGTAAGAGATGGGCATATTTATTTAATATGATCAAGTCTTTTTTGTGTGCTTGGTTTACAAACCCAGTTGACAAAGACAAAGAACTTAAAGTTTTGGGGGAGATTGGGGCAAGTCTATCTGTTCAATTATGTTTATCTCACCAATACATAAGCAAGATAATTTACAGGTGTTTGGAGGACATGTACAAACTATCAAATGCCTCCCTAACCCATGTTAGTGTAGGCAATGAAAACTCCTTCAACATACTGGTGTTTTTAAGTCATTAATCGTAATTAATTCAACAATTTAAAACGAGGAATTTCAACCACCTACATTGACTATCGGGACAACTGTTTGATGAAACAGATGAGATATATAAGGACTCATGATCGAATGCAGTCCTTTGCTTTTGGCATTTTCAAAAAGGATTAATGTTTTTGTTTGATATTTCCTGTCAGCATATCTATGACCAAGTGGACACAACTTATGTTTGCTTATTTGTTGTTTAACACAGGAATATTTAACTATATGACGGCTGTCTGTAAATAATCAAATCTGGACCAGACAATCCAGTGATTGACATCATGAGGTCGATCCACGCAATTGGAATAAGATGACATGCATAAACCAAGTCAGCGAGCCTGACCACCCGATCCCGTTAGTCGCCCTTTACAACAAGCAAAGTCACTTTTTATGGCAAGCATGGGTTTCTGAAGACCTATTCTACCCTGGATCTTAATGGGTCGGACACAACTTATAGTTAACAACTTGTTTATGTTACAGTAATAGATGTTATACCTTTGCATTGATGAATGATGTCATGTCTGCTTCAGATGTTTCAGTAACCTTTGGAAGAAAGTGCTACATAAAAATATTTTGATGTGCATTGAAATACATGTAGAATACTTCTACTCTGACAACAGAACAGTTTGATCCCCTCAATGAATTCCTCCCCCTGAAATCTATTCATTGTGTTTTTCTCCCCGTCTGCCAGGTGATCAAGTGCACAGGGAGGCTGGTCGTAGCCAAGATGAAGAGCAAGAAGGAGGCTGACGATGCCTCCATGTACCCCTACCTGCTGGCTGTTGGGGAGCCCATCCCCCACCCTGCCAACATCGAGGTCCCCCTTGACAGCAGCACATTTCTCAGCAAACACAACATGAACATGACCTTCACCTACTGTGATGACAGGTAGGGGCAAGATTGTCTACTAGGGAAACTAAGGTGATAGCCATCTTCCCTTGTCAAGGTGTTAACTGCCTATAAAGGTCCAGTTTCCACCCTTGTCGAACTAGGCTGGAATTTCTTTTTCGCTACACAGTTTTGATTGGACTATACATAGACTTGTTAGTCCAGCCAAATGTAACTCCGGAATTCCAGCCTAGTTCAGCAAGGGTGGAAACTGGACTTTTATGGTCAGTTAACGCCCTTGCCTCAGGAAGATTGTGATAGAAGGAGGTATCAAATGTTGAGTTACTGGAATAAACAGGGATGAGCTAAAAAACTTAATTTTAAAAGATTACTTGTTTCTTTTTATTCTTTTTTTCCATCTGCTTTCAACAGAACCCTTTTTGACATTGTTGCAGAAATCAAATAACTCGACACATGACTATTTGTTATGAAACCATGCTCTTTTAAGTCTCGAGCTATAGATATAGATTGGAGTGCTTTCCATTAGACTCATTGTGATTTGTTCATAAAATAACCAGGGATGATGGGGTTAAAGCGTTCACTCATCACCCCGAAGACCCGGGTTCGGTTCTCCACATGGGTACAATGTGTGAAGCCCTTTACTCGTGTCACCGCTGTAATATCAGAGCTCCAGATAAGCTGTGTATCTGCGTAAAATAAGCATCAGAAAAGCAGAAATACGCAGTATAATAATATCCAAGCGTATCAAATACGCAACAAACATTACAGATACGCTACAAAAATAAAACTTGTGCGTATCATCAAAATATTGTGAAGTAACCCTGCGTATTCGATTGGCAAATCAGCAACTTATTTTGAAATTATAAACGGGCATTCCATCAACCTTGCCAAACTCCACGATGACGGTTACATCATGATCATTTGCCATCACACTTTCTTGTGGGAGTATCGTGGTATTTTTGAGTCCTATAAAGCTCTCGAACCCACACAACACCAGTTTGGAGGGACTAGATGAATAGTGTTTTTAAATATTTAACTTAAATACCCACATGTGTAAAAACTAGTGGGTAACAGAAATTTGAATACCCAGATAGAATTACTGATACCCAATGATTTTAAAATGCATGGGTAAAATACCCACAACACTGAAAGCTTATCTGGAGCTCTGAATATTGCTGATTGCGGCGTAAAAACATATTCACGCACTCATTAGATAACTTATTAGATAACAGATTTTCTACATTTATCCAAAGAGAACCCGTGAAAGTATTCAATTGTGGTGACTAGATGGCTGTGTCCTTGAGTCAAAGTTTTTTTGAAGTTTAAATTTTGCACCATTAAAAATGTTAGTTAAGCTTTAGCTTCATGATTAAATGATAATAATGATAATAAACAACAACCTTCTCATCCAACTGATCTTCAAGCAAATAAACATGAACATAAAACTATGTTCATTGTGTGCACATAAACAACCACTGGCCCTTCTATTTGTGACATAGATGTCAAGCTGATTTTAGAAAGCAAATATTTCAACCCATAGAAATTCCACTAATGTTTGTTGATTGCTTGAGATGCACAAACATGTTTACATCTCAGCTCAGGCGCATCAGCGGACGAGCCGACATGCCTTTATTTCCTGCATGCCGTACAACTGCGTCACCCAGCGATGACTGGGCTGCAGAATGCTATAGAATGCTCGTGACAGACACAGTGACAAGTAGACAAATTCATAGCTATTGATGTGGATGCACCCTATGTGATAGTGTCTTGTTGTGTTGTGTTATGTTGACATAGCAATAATAAGGAATACCGTATTCGACGTAATAAGCGCCCCGCTCTAATAAGCGCCCACGGCGATATTTGCTAATATATTGTCTAGTGAACGATCCCAATTAACATCCCTTCCGATTGATCAATGTACACAAGACTTAATTATTCGTGTATAATACGTGTGTTTTATGCATCCTTAATTATGGGAAATAAAATTCTGGAAAAATCTATCTGTCATATATAAACAGTTAAGGCTGTCAGCATAAACCACGAAATTTACGATCTTTCAACTCTGTTGTTTTTCACCAAAATAATATTCTTATGAGAGCCCCCTATTTCTAATTTTGAGAGTGCCCAGGGCGCTTATTATGTTGAATACGGTATCCAAATAAACGCACGACAATACTAATCAAACTTCAGCCCATTTAATAACCAATTAAATTTCATAATTACAATATAGACAAACTACTGTTCCATCACAACAATGACATGTGCTGGCTTCACAATGTAATGTTATGCAATGATTACAAATATCCAGCCATGTCCATCTAATTTATCATACCTCCATGTCAGAATGATGAGATCTGATTGGTCCACGTGACCTTGATAAAATACTGTGTAACCTGCCTTGGAGGGGAATAAATTTCTCAGCGGGGGAATAAATCTCTTATACCCGGCACTAGCACTACAGGCTGCACATGGATTTCTGAGAGGCAGAATAAATCCCTTATACCCCGCCATGAGCAATACAGGCTGCACATGGATTTCTGAGAGGCAGAATAAATCCCTTGTACCCCGCTTCAAAGCAAAAAGCCACACGCTTTTTCTGAGTCAATGGAAGTCATGTGACATAGCACAAGCTAACCTCTGCTGAATCAAACAGCTGTTTTTTATCAATTTTTAATTTGTGTTAATTATTTTTTAATGTCACATTAAAACATGTTGGTAAGATACATTTGTTGTAGCAGGATCACTCGGGGTACAGGGGGTTTTATGCGTCCCTCGTTAGGTTTTATACCCCGAGTGATCCTGCTACACCTAATACTTTACCCTGTTATGGCAACGTAAGCTTTATTATTCTCTATGATGCCCTGTTATGACAACTAACATGTAAGTTTTATTATGTTCTAATAGTATCACAACACATCCCACACTGCCCAGCTTATATGTCTAGCGGGCTATGTGAGAAAGTCACCTGGTCACATGAACAACGTTTCACAAGAAAAATGTGTTTTCTGCAAAGTAGGGTGTGTTTGGTAGATGCTTATACCCGGAAATCCTTTTGTTGTGTTTTGTCGACTAAACCCACCTGATCTGCAACAGTTCATCTGATTTGATGTAACCATGGTGATTGCAACACCTAGAACGATCGAAAATAAATATCAGATGTGTGATTAGTGTGAATGTAAACATTTCTTGTATGTTATGAAAGGTGATGATAAATAAATTAACAGATTTTTTTCATCCCATCCACCTTACGATCAAATATTTGAAATTAAATCTATGATAACCTAGTTATTGTACTGTCCATCTACCACAGGTTATTTATTCAGTCTAAATGTATTTATCATAAATGTATAACTTGTTCTTATATGCTATGGCTGGAATAATGCCTATGTGATTAAATCTTCACTCACTCACTCTCACTCACTCACTCACTCACTCACTCACTCACTCACTTAAAAACAAACAAACAACATGCATCACATCATGTTGTTGTCCCCAAGCACCTGTTGACAAGCACCTGAAAAGACGAAGAGTATCGTCTTTGTGAACTTGATGAAATACACCTACACATAGTCCTGCAAAATATTCAAATATGTTTTTTGTGGATTACATCCGTTGATATCTAATGTACAGAGGTGGTGGCTTGAACAGTTTGTTTGATAACAGAATATACAAAATTAAATACCACCCCCCTCATATTTTTGAAAAATTGGATTGAAAATCTATTAATTTATTTATTTTATCCAATTCTTTAAATTTGTTTATTTTTCTGTCAGAATTAACAAGGAACACTTAGCCCACAGACACCAATCTGATTTTTACGGAAGCGTAGTAGTCCCACGGTGATTTTTTGTTGTTGTATAAGTATCTCCTACGTAGGACTTAGTATCTTCTACGTAGGACTTAATATCTCCTTATTCTAGTCCATACTAAGTCCTACGTAGGAGATAGTTATTCTAGTCCATACTAAGTCCTACGTAGGAGATAGTAAGTCCTACGTAGGAGATAATAAGTCCTATGTAGGAGATAGCTATTCTAGTCCATACTAAGTCCTACGTAGGAGATACTAAGTCCTACGTAGGAGATAGTTATTCTAGTCCATACTAAGTCCTACGTAGGAGATACTAAGTCCTACGTAGGAGATAGTAAGTCCTACGTGGGAGATAATAAGTCCTATGTAGGAGATAGCTATTCTAGTCCATACTAAGTCCTACGTAGGAGATAGTTATTCTAGTCCATACTAAGTCCTACGTAGGAGATAGTTATTCTAGTCCATACTAAGTCCTACGTAGGAGATACTAAGTCCTACGTAGGAGATACTAAGTCCTACGTAGGAGATAGTAAGTCCTACGTGGGAGATAATAAGTCCTACGTAGGAGATAATAAGTCCTACGTAGGAGATACTAAGTCCTACATAGGAGATACTTAGACAACAACAAAAATTCACCATGGCCCTACTACGCTTCTGTAGATCTTACACTTTGAAAGGTTACAATGTACATGATGTTGAACATTGATAATGTAAGATGTTAGATTAAAATCAGTCACCTAAAGTAGGTAGGTGGATAATTAGATACTAATGCTTATGAAATCAATTAATTTTTAATACATGTTTTAATAAGGGGTCAGCTTTTTGAAAGACTCTCTGACCTTTAAAAGTGAAACGTGGAACCAAAATAGCACTATTGGTTTTATTCCACGGAACTTGTCCCTCACAAAGAAATATTTGAGGCAATATGTTAAGTGTCAAGACTGACAAGACCAGCTTAGAGCAGAGCAGCCACAGCAGGCATGGCAACATGTTCATTAATCAAGGATAAAAAACTAACATCAGAAATGTCATTAATCAGTTTATATTCTTTTCCTTTCTGCAGACCATGATTGCTCAAATTAACAGTGTGTAAGCCTAGCACTGGCCAATGGGATTTTCCTCAATGGCGTTCTGCTCAGAATTCGTTTACTGACTTAAGTTGTCTTTACCAATCAATTTGTAACCCTTTTCTCATGATAAATCTGACACAACGCATAAGAGCAAAATGCTATTTTTATTTCAAACCACAATTTAGAAGATCAAGTTGTGACCTTGACCCAGCGAGTTTAGAGTCGGTGAATTATTTATTGTGTTGTGTTATAGTAAGTTATACCACTGTAGCCTGTAAATAATAAACCTTTTGTTCAGACAAACCAGTGGTTGATAGCATGAGCACATATAACCCCCAATCCCTATTCCAGTCAACTCTTGTCCCACACACAAGGAGGAATGCTTCAGGAATCCCATTTTGCAAATGTGCAAGATGAATACCGTATTCGACATAAGAAGCGCCCAGGGCGCTCTCAAAATTAGAAATAGGCGGCTCTTATTAGAATATTATTTTGGTGAAAAAAACAGAGTTGAAAGATAAATTTCGTGGTTTATGCTGACAGCCTGAAATGTTAATATACGACAGATATATTTTCCAGAATTTAATTGCCAATAATTGAGGGTGCATATTACACACGAGTGCGTATTATACACGAATAAATAGGTCTTGTGTACATTGATCAATCGGAAGGGGTGCTAATTGGGATTGTTCACAAGCCAATATATTAGCAAATATCGCCGTGGGCACTTATTAGAGCTGGGGGCTTATTACGTAGAATACGGTACTTGTATGTGGTGAATATATCTCTTTTCGATCCGATTTGTCTCTCCTTCTTAATTATTAATGTATCATTGACAAAAATGCGTGATGTATAAAAAAAACCTTTTTTTAATTATTTAGAATCCAGGACCTGATTGGCTACAACAGTGAGAATCTGATTGGTCGATCCCTCTACAACTACCACCATGCACTAGACAGTGAAGTGGTGGAGAAAGCTTTCAAAGATCGTAAGTACTGCAAGCAGAATTTGAAACTTACACTTTAAAACCGAAATCTCTCTAGATATATATTTGAGTTTTGTATATGAAAAGTGGATTTCACTACATTACAAGTTTTTCCCCACAGTGTTTGCCAAAGGACAAACTATGACCGGTCAGTATCGGTTCCTCGCCAAGAATGGAGGCTACACATGGGTGATCACACAAGGCACTATCATCCACAACAACCGCACGCAGAAGCCCCAGTGGGTCGTGTGTGTCCACTATGTCCTCAGGTAAGGGTTAACCCCAGTGGGTCATGTGTGTCATGTGTACCAATATGTTTGTTCTTTTCAACAGTGTTCATAATGTTGCTTGATCTTTATTGAATGTTCCATTCTGTTTGGGAAAGACCCGTGACGATCTCGGGTAGAATAGGTCTTCAGCAACCCATGCTTGCCGTAAAAGGCGACTATGCTTGTCATAAGAGGCGACTAACGGGATCCACACAATTGGGATCGATGCTCATGATGTCAATTACTGGATTGCCTGGTCCATACTCGATTATTTACAGACAGACGTCATATAGCTGGAATATTGCCGAGTGCTGCATTAAGCAACAAACAAACAAACTGTTCAGGAAAACGAAATCTCGTCAGAGTCCCATCATGTTATTCGCACTGTCCTGTGTGTTCAGTGATGTTCAGGGCTCTGTTCCACAAAGCGATCTTTGCACTAAGGTGGTCATGAACTACAACATTTCAACGTAGGCTTATGATCATCATACCACTAAGATCGCTTTGTGGACATGGACCCTGGACAAAATCTTGTCGGAGTCCAATGATGCTATGTATCTCTCTTGTGTGTTCAGTGCCGTTCAAGAGAAGAACATGATTTTGTCTGACGTTCAGCAGCAAACAGCGGATGACCTCTTGTCCTTCAAGATGGAGCAGAGCACAGACAAGATATTCGGACCCAGGACAAAGGACATGGAGCAGAACTACTTTGTTCCTGAGGAACTCAAGAACAACATAACATGTAGGTGGCTCTGCATGTTACAGTGTTGATCGCAATTCATTCAGTGACGGGGCGGTCGGGTAGCCTAGTGGTTGAAGCGTTCGCTCGTCACGCCGAAGACCCGGGTTCGATTCCAGACATGGGTACAATATGTGAAGCCTATTTCTGGTGTCCCCCGCCGTGATATTGCTGGAATATTGCTAAAAGTGGCGTAAAACAGTACTCACTCACTCACTCACTCATTCAGTGACAAAATACAAAAACATGTGAATATTTAGAAATTTTATTTGTCGACTGTTCAAGTGTATATGCAATCATCAGTGATGGATACGCCACTGTCTGCTGTTTGATGTGGCCATTGTCATGTCACTGGAACTAGATTTCTACAGAGATGCAATGTTATATGTCTGAATGAGCCTAGATACAATGGCATGTATCTATCTGTGGCATATATATGTCTGGGTGGAAGTACAATGTTGATATCCGTGTATTACAGTGGTGAACAATGAGCCTGCCGATCTGTCCTACTTGGCCCCTACAGCTGGAGATGGGTGTGTCCAACTTGGCTTCCCTATCTACTCCCAGGGTGAGTACCCCCTGACTTGCTAGTCTCCTCCCTGACTTGCTAGTCTCCTCCCTGACTTGCTAGACTCCTCCTTGACTGGATAGACTCCTCCCACCCACAGCCAGCAGACTGGTTAGACTCCTCCCTGACTGGTTAGATTCCTCCCTGACTGGTAAGACTCCTCCCTGACTGGTTAGACTCCTCCCTGACTGGTTAGACTCCTCCCACTCACAGCCAGCTGACTGGTTAGACTCCTCCCTGACTTGCTAGACTCCTCCCTGACTGTTAGAACCTTCCCTGACTGGTTAGACTCCTCCCTATTCAGACTCCTCTCTGACTGGTTAGACTCTCCCCTGACTAGTTAGACTCCTCCCACTCAAGCCAGCAGACTGGTTAGACACCTCCCTGACTGGTTAGACACCTCCCTGACTGGTTAGACTCCTTCTTGACTGGTTAGACTCCTCCCACCCACAGCAAGCTGACTGGTTAGACTCCTCCCACTCACAGCCAGCTGACTGGTTAGACTCCTCCCTGACTTGCTAGTCTCCTCCCTGACTGGTTAGAACCTTCCCTGACTGGTTAGACTCCTCCCTATTCGGACTCCTCCCTGACTGGTTAGACTCCTCCCTGACTTGCTAGTCTCCTCCCTGACTGGTTAGTACCTTCCCTGACTGGTTAGACTCCTCCCTATTCGGACTCCTCCCTGACTGGTTAGACTCCTCCCTGACTTGCTAGTCTCCTCCCTGACTGGTTAGTACCTTCCCTGACTGGTTAGACTCCTCCCTATTCGGACTCCTCCCTGACTGGTTAGACTCCTCCCTGACTGGTTAGACTCCTCCCAATTACAGCCAGCTGACTGACTGAACTAAAATGCCAAAGGTTGTGTATGTGATTGGTTATTACATTCATTCTCTGCTCATTTACAGTTGCTGATTTCGCATGCATGGACAAAGACCTTCCCCCTCCAATGTGCAAGGAAGAACCTGATCCTGGACCCAGAGACGTTCACCGCAGTCAGGAGTTGTACAGCAACAACCCCTCACCTGCCTCCCTCTCACCCAGGGTAAGTCTGCCTCTCTCTCCCCCTGGGTAATGCCTCCCCCTCACCCTGGGTAAGTCTGCCTCTCTCTCCCCCTGGGTAATGCCTCCCCCTCACCCTGGGTAAGTCTGCCTCTCTCTCCCCCTGGATGATGCCTCCCTCTCACCCAGGGTAAGTCTGCCTCTCTCTCCCCCTGGGTAATGCCTCCCCCTCACCCTGGGTAAGTCTGCCTCTCTCTCCCCCTGGATGATGCCTCCCCCTCACCCTAGGTAAGTCTGCCTCTCTCTCCCCCTGGATGATGCCTCCCTCTCACCCTGGGTAAGTCTGCCTCTCTCTCCCCCTGGGTAATGCCTCCCCCTCACCCTAGGTAAGTCTGCCTCTCTCTCCCCCTGGATGATGCCTCCCTCTCACCCTGGGTAAGTCTGCCTCTCTCTCCCCCTGGATGATGCCTCCCTCTCACCCTGGGTAAGTCTGCCTCTCTCTCCCCCTGGATGATGCCTCCCCCTCACCCTGGGTAAGTCTGCCTCTCTCTCCCCCTGGATGATGCCTCCCTCTCACCCTGGGTAAGTCTGCCTCTCTCTCCCCCTGGATGATGCCTCCCCCTCACCCTAGGTAAGTCTGCCTCTCTCTCCCCCTGGATGATGCCTCCCCCTCACCCTAGGTAAGTCTGCCTCTCTCTCCCCCTGGATGATGCCTCCCTCTCACCCTGGGTAAGTCTGCCTCTCTCTCCCCCTGGATGATGCCTCCCTCTCACCCTGGGTAAGTCTGCCTCTCTCTCCCCCTGGATGATGCCTCCCTCTCACCCTAGGTAAGTCTGCCTCTCTCTCCCCCTGGATGATGCCTCCCTCTCACCCTGGGTAAGTCTGCCTCTCTCTCCCCCTGGATGATGCCTCCCCCTCACCCTAGGTAAGTCTGCCTCTCTCTCCCCCTGGATGATGCCTCCCCCTCACCCTAGGTAAGTCTGCCTCTCTCTCCCCCTGGATGATGCCTCCCCCTCACCCTAGGTAAGTCTGCCTCTCTCTCCCCCTGGATGATGCCTCCCCCTCACCCTGGGTAAGTCTGCCTCTCTCTCCCCCTGGATGATGCCTCCCCCTCACCCTAGGTAAGTCTGCCTCTCTCTCCCCCTGGATGATGCCTCCCCCTCACCCTAGGTAAGTCTGCCTCTCTCTCCCCCTGGATGATGCCTCCCCCTCACCCTAGGTAAGTCTGCCTCTCTCTCCCCCTGGATGATGCCTCCCCCTCACCCTGGGTAAGTCTGCCTCTCTCTCCCCCTGGATGATGCCTCCCCCTCACCCTAGGTAAGTCTGCCTCTCTCTCCCCCTGGATGATGCCTCCCCCTCACCCTAGGTAAGTCTGCCTCTCTCTCCCCCTGGATGATGCCTCCCCCTCACCCTAGGTAAGTCTGCCTCTCTCTCCCCCTGGATGATGCCTCCCTCTCACCCTGGGTAAGTCTGCCTCTCTCTCCCCCTGGATGATGCCTCCCTCTCACCCTGGGTAAGTCTGCCTCTCTCTCCCCCTGGGTAATGCCTCCCCCTCACCCTAGGTAAGTCTGCCTCTCTCTCCCCCTGGATGATGCCTCCCTCTCACCCTGGGTAAGTCTGCCTCTCTCTCCCCCTGGATGATGCCTCCCTCTCACCCTGGGTAAGTCTGCCTCTCTCTCCCCCTGGATGATGCCTCCCTCTCACCCTGGGTAAGTCTGCCTCTCTCTCCCCCTGGATGATGCCTCCCCCTCACCCTAGGTAAGTCTGCCTCTCTCTCCCCCTGGATGATGCCTCCCCCTCACCCTAGGTAAGTCTGCCTCTCTCTCCCCCTGGATGATGCCTCCCTCTCACCCTGGGTAAGTCTGCCTCTCTCTCCCCCTGGATGATGCCTCCCTCTCACCCTGGGTAAGTCTGCCTCTCTCTCCCCCTGGATGATGCCTCCCTCTCACCCTGGGTAAGTCTGCCTCTCTCTCCCCCTGGATGATGCCTCCCCCTCACCCTAGGTAAGTCTGCCTCTCTCTCCCCCTGGATGATGCCTCCCCCTCACCCTAGGTAAGTCTGCCTCTCTCTCCCCCTGGATGATGCCTCCCTCTCACCCTGGGTAAGTCTGCCTCTCTCTCCCCCTGGATGATGCCTCCCTCTCACCCTGGGTAAGTCTGCCTCTCTCTCCCCCTGGATGATGCCTCCCTCTCACCCTGGGTAAGTCTGCCTCTCTCTCCCCCTGGATGATGCCTCCCCCTCACCCTAGGTAAGTCTGCCTCTCTCTCCCCCTGGATGATGCCTCCCCCTCACCCTAGGTAAGTCTGCCTCTCTCTCCCCCTGGATGATGCCTCCCTCTCACCCTGGGTAAGTCTGCCTCTCTCTCCCCCTGGATGATGCCTCCCTCTCACCCTAGGTAAGTCTGCCTCTCTCTCCCCCTGGATGATGCCTCCCTCTCACCCTGGGTAAGTCTGCCTCTCTCTCCCCCTGGATGATGCCTCCCTCTCACCCTGGGTAAGTCTGCCTCTCTCCCCCTGGGTAATGCCTCCCTCTCACCCTGGGTAAGTCTGCCTCTCACCCAGGGTAAGTCTGCCTCTCTCCCCCTGGGTAATGCCTCCCTCTCACCCAGGGTAAGTCTGCCTCTCTCCCCCTGGGTAATGCCTCCCTCTCACCCAGGGTAAGTCTGCCTCTCTCCCCCTGGGTAATGCCTCCCTCTCACCCAGGGTAAGTCTGCCTCTCACCCAGGCTAAGTCTGTCTCTCTCCCCCTGGGTATGCCTCTCACCCAGAGTAAGCCTGCCTCTCTCCCCCTGGGTAATGCCTCCCTCTCACCCAGGGTAAGTCTGCCTCTCTCCCCCTGGGTAATGCCTCCCTCTCACCCTGAGTAAGTCTGCCTCTCTCCCCCTGGGTAATGCCTCTCTCTCACCCAGGGTAAGTCTGCCTCTCTCCCCCTGGGTATGCCTCTCACCCTGGGTAACTCCGCCTCTCTCCCCCTGGGTAATGCCTCCCTCTCACCCAGGGTAAGCCTGCCTCTCTCCCCCTGGGTAATGCCTCCCTCTCACCCAGGGTAAGTCTGCCTCTCTCCCCCTGGGTAATGCCTCCCTCTCACCCTGAGTAAGTCTGCCTCTCTCCCCCTGGGTAATGCCTCTCTCTCACCCAGGGTAAGTCTGCCTCTCTCCCCCTGGGTATGCCTCTCACCCTGGGTAACTCCGCCTCTCTCCCCCTGGGTAATGCCTCCCTCTCACCCAGGGTAAGGCCTCCCTCTCACCCAGGGTAAGTCTGCCTCTTTCCCCCTGGGTAATGCCTCATTCTCACCCTGAGTAAGTCTGCCTCTCTCCCTCTAGGTAATGCCTCTCTCTCACCCAGGGTAAGTCTGCATCTCTCCCCCTGGGTAATGCCTCTCTCTCACCCAGGGTAAGTCTGCCTCTCTCCCCCTGGGTAATGCCTCCCTCTCACCAAAGGTAAGTCTGCCTCTCTCCCCCTGGGTAATGCCTCCCTCTCACCCAGGGTAAGTCTGCCTCTCACCCAGGCTAAGTCTGTCTCTCTCCCCCTGGGTATGCCTCTCACCCAGAGTAAGCCTGCCTCTCTCCCCCTGGGTAATGCCTCCCTCTCACCCAGGGTAAGTCTGCCTCTCTCCCCCTGGGTAATGCCTCCCTCTCACCCTGAGTAAGTCTGCCTCTCTCCCCCTGGGTAATGCCTCTCTCTCACCCAGGGTAACTCCGCCTCTCTCCCCCTGGGTAATGCCTCCCTCTCACCCAGGGTAAGGCCTCCCTCTCACCCAGGGTAAGTCTGCCTCTTTCCCCCTGGGTAATGCCTCATTCTCACCCTGAGTAAGTCTGCCTCTCTCCCTCTAGGTAATGCCTCTCTCTCACCCAGGGTAAGTCTGCATCTCTCCCCCTGGGTAATGCCTCTCTCTCACCCAGGGTAAGTCTGCCTCTCTCCCCCTGGGTAATGCCTCCCTCTCACCAAAGGTAAGTCTGCCTCTCTCCCCCTGGGTAATGCCTCTCTCTCACCCAGGGTAAGTCTGCCTCTCTCCCCCTGGGTAATGCCTCTCTCCCCCTGGGTAATGCCTCTCTCTCACCCAGGGTAAGTCTGCCTCTCTCCCCCTGGGTAATGCCTCTCTCTCACCCAGGGTAAGTCTGCATCTCTCCCCCTGGGTAATGCCTCCCTCTCACCCAGGGTAAGTCTGCCTCTCTCTCCCTGGGTAATGCCTCTCTCTCACCCAGGGTAAGTCTGCCTCTCTCCCCCTGGGTAATGCCTCCCTCTCACCCAGGGTAAGTCTGCCTCTCTCCCCCTGGGTAATGCCTCTCTCTCACCCAGGGAAAGTCGTATTGTCTGTTTAGGCTGAAATATGAACTGTGTTTCAAGTACTTGTGATAAATGAAGCCCCACTTTCGGCCCTCCAGATTCAGAGCCCTGATGAGTACCAGACCATCGCCAGCCCCACTGATGTCGACCTCATGGATAAATTCTTCTCAACGATGGACGCCACACAGAAGTCAGGCTCTGACAGTGACATGGAGGTGAGTTGCAGAGTTAATAGTATGTATTGTTGAAAGTTCAACATTTTCTTCTCCATTAGTTGCAGGGGGCACGGGTGGCCCAGTTGTCTAAGGCGCCATGATTCGCTGTGCAGAGTTGCGTCCCTTGGGCAAGCCAGAAACCTATGATTGTGGGTTCGAATCCCGGTTCGCCCCAATTATGTTTCTAGGTTTGTCAGCACCATACCCGTGCTCGTGGGTTTCACCGAAGTGGTAAACGTCTGAGACCTGCATCACTTCGGGCTTTCCTCCCACATTAAGCTGACACGCCGTGATATAACTGGAATACTGTTAAAAGCGGCTTAACCCAACTCACTCACTCACTCCATTAGTTGCAATCTTTCTAATACAGTATTTTGATAGTAATGACTCATTCAAAGGTTGCTTGGATGGGATTACGGTATTTCAAAGTAAAATCCCAACCAGCTCAGTCTTGTTCAATGGTTTATTATCCCCCGCCACGAAGAGATACTTGTGGAGGCTGAGTTCGAAATTGGTGCAGTAGATTTCGATTTTGTGCATTTACAGTTATGGCCCTTGATCCATGTAATTTCTTTTCTATTTAGTGCATAGTGTCTGCATTGGGGAAAGTAAAATCAGATTTTCTCATGACATAAAGCGGGGGCACGGGTGGCCCAGTCGTCTAAGGCACTGCGATTCGCTGTGCAGAGTTGCGTCCCTTGGGCACGCCAGAAACCTATGATTGTGGGTTCGAATCCCAGTTCGCCCCGATTATGTTTCTAGGTTTGTCAGCACCTTACCCGTGCTCGTGGGTTTCACCAAAATGGTAAACGTCTGAGACCTGCATCACTTCGGGCTTTCCTGACACATTAAGCTAACACGCCGCGATATAACTGGAATACTGTTAAAAGCGGCGTAAAACCCAACTCACTCACTCACTCACTCATGACATAAAGCCACCCCAGGGCCTATCTCTTCTTAAGGATGCTGTAAATCTTGAAATAAACGCGAGCGTGAATTAAATGTGAAAAATGCGAGTGGTCTTTGTTCGCATTATTAAACATCGCATTTATATCAACAATAAGACATTTTGGATAGGAGAAATACCAACTTAGACAATATATACGCTGAAAACAAACAGCTATGTATTTCACAACACTGATCTTTTTAGCAGCACTTGTTGTAAGTATATAAACAATGTCATTCAAACACAAATTGCATCCTGTGAATTGTCTCTGCTGGGGTCAAGACAAGAGTTCTACTCACTTATGTCATTACTGATCACACCTGCAAGTCCCCACAAACGCCACCCACGCAACACAGTGCCAGTGCGCATGTATTGTTTTAGTGGAAGTACTTTACTCAGCACTAATAAGCTGTGCTATTTGGTGTGTGATTGGATTAATGTAAGGTTGGATGAGGGTGAGGATTCTCCTGTAAACCTGACTGAGGACATCTTTAGATAGAAATCCACTGATGCTTGAGAGGAGGGGGTGTCGCATTCATATTGAGTCACATTTTTGGCTAGGGTCCAGTGGTCGCATTCTTTTGGAGACGCATTAATTTCACAATTTACAGTATCTGATTATTGCTATTAAAAAGTTGAGTCATATATTTGCGTGTTGTTGCAACTGACTGTGACTGCTGTGTGCAGGACGTGGACCTGAACATGAGAGCCCCGTACATCCCCATGAACGCCGACGAGGACTTCAGCCTCGTACCTCCCAGCACAGACTCACTCTTCACACTGCAGAGTGACTTCAACCCAGGGTAAGTCACGTACATGACACACAAGTTAGGGCCATTATGGAAAAGCACTGAATGTAATCACGTATAGAATGTTTTATCCTCGTCGCCACTGTTGTGTATGTATTATGTTATTTGTCCGACCCGCGCATTGGAGGAACATCAAATCTTCAATACATAACAAAACCGTAGTTGGCTCAATCACTGTTTAATGTAGAACTGACACTGCTTCACACAGCTGCCTAGGTTACCACAACATAATGACATCACACCTAAAGTGACGTCACTGCACGTGCGCATTGGCACACTTACAATGTAAACATACCTGACATGCACAACAGGGACGGGTCCAAATTTACTACCCGGGTACCCCCCCCCCCCTATTACCTGACCCTACCCGGGTACTCGCTGTAGGTCTCAAGAGGTAGGTACAAACTGTCCGATTGGGGAAAGTTTGACCGTAGCTCTGGTAAAATGTGTTTAGATACATGTATGAAACGACCTGGTGTATACACTGAAGTTGACTGAGGTTTTATTTTTATTCAAACATATAAAAGTCAGAAGGAATGGGCGAAGTTGTCAGGAAGAACTGCGAACATTAGAGACTTGTAGTTTAAACATAGTTTTAGATACTTTTTGTCATTTAACAATATATCACGTGACTAACCACGGGTCCGGGTAGTCCTGTGGGTACCCGGGTCCTACTCAGTACCCACCCGACCCGGGTACCTGAGTTACCCGTCCCAGCCCTAACACAAGTGTGGTTGTTGAACCTGGTTTTACTGCTGGACAATAGGAAATGGGTTTGGGTACCAAAGAGTCTCCTCAACGAATTTCCGTAATTAGGTGATTTGGGGTTTAAGGTCAAGTCCAAGGTTATTGCTCTTATATATGCGTGTGTCGACGCGAATTTGTAAGCATGCCCCTGAGGTCAACCCTTACCTGAGGACAGTGAGCTGAGGTGAAATAGGGTTGTCCAGACTGATACAGATTTATAGTGATAGCTCACTGAGATACCATGCCACAGTTTAACATGAATACCCCACTCAGACACAGTATACTGACTCCGAGCTGACCAGTCCTTGTTTTAGCCCCTTAATGCCGATGACAAGGCAGGGTAACAACAAGTACCATACGTAATTAGAGAAACTCTGAAGTAGATCAGTATGAGAAGGGAAGTAACTCTGACTTTTTTTTACTTATTAAGCAAGCACCTCCACATCCTTAACCCAACCCCTCCCAACATTGTTCCTTTTTCTTAATTTTACCCTTCTGATCATTCTTATTAGATCATTTGAATGTAATTTTCTTTTAAATTTGATAAATAGAGGATTCATCACGAGTGCCAAAGGCTCGGCAAATACCGATTAACTAAGACTCGGTTGATATTTCCCATATTAAAAAACACGAGTGATGAATTCTATTTATCATTTTCACATTTTTGCTTCCCAATTAAGGAATAATTGCATTAAACATTAACACCAGCAACTTGTCGAAATCTTACGTATAGATCGTTCGTAGTGATACATGTTTTCCATAGCCGTGTAAACCAAAATAAACAACCTCTTAACTCCTTTATGACATATTCCTTCGCTGAGAAAAAAAGTTCCTCGGATTATTTTAAACAAAATACTTGAACACACTTTTGCAGAATAATTGAAATAATGTCTCCAACATCAAAGGTATCCATGTTGTTTGTAAACACCTACTCACGTGCACCGGCGAAAAAAGTCCCACTTCCGGTTATCTAATTTGCATATCTAATTTGCATACTTATGTCATTGGGGTATGACATACATGTTTTTATGTCATAGGCTTATGTCATGGATAAATGCTTTTGTTAAATGATAAATAGAGATTATTATCATATATAAGGAATATTGATGGATTGTTTGTGGTCTGATGCCGGACCAAGCAATTTTCCAGTTTTTGACAGCAGTCTGTAAATAATCGAGTCAGGACCAGTGATTGATATCATGAGCACTGATCCACGCTTTGGAATAACACTTGTCCTTATGCCATTGTTACTTCCAAAATCACCTATTTTCATTCACTGATATCAATGATACTTGTAACTAATTCATCAGCATGTTTTGTAGACTTTTCGGCCGGACTGAGTCCGTGTTCATGGACAAGAATGCTTTCGAGATCCCCCGCTGCCCCATGCAACCGAGTGTTCGAGACATGATCGGAGGGAGTACTGTGGTAGCAAGCATAAAGCAGCCGCCTGACACCATGTTACTGCAAGTCAAACGACCTCTGGACATGAATAGCCTTGAAAAAGGGCCTCCTGTTGCAAAAGCAGTAAAGCGGAATGATCCGAGACCCTTGCTTGGAGGTGAGTGACTATCGGAAGCTGTTTAACACTTATAGGTTGCAAGTTATGTATCTAAGTACATTTACCATCCAAAACTCCCAAACTGGCTCCCACAGGAGATATCGCTTGGATGAGATCAAGCGATATCTACACTGTTATCGCTGCAAAAAAGTTGGAAGAATGATATTGGATGATAAATAAAATCTCACCCGAGTGTGTTTTGATATCCAATATATCAATTCTCCTTGATAAAAGTGGCAATAATCCTCAAAAATTTTCCTCTTTTATCAACTCGTGTTGATATATTTGATATCAAAAGACACTCGGGTGAGATTCTCTATATATTTGTATGAAATAGATTGGACAACAAGATTATTCTCTGTGGAGGTAAATGAAGACTTTTATGCTTCATGTGAAGTTGTGTTTGAAATGTCATTGATTGATTCAGGGATTTATCTAGACCTGCTCAGAGGCCGATATTCGGCGCCATGTCTGCAGCAATTATCAGTAAAAAGTCCAATTTTATTGTCTATTGGGGAAAGAAGTTCCGACACCTTGTAAATATACCGTAGTTATGACCATTGTCATGGTGACTTGTATATCACTGATAACAGAACCAGAAAGGAGAAACTGGTTAGTGTTCATTATTGTATTAAATGCAATGTTAAAATAACTCTCTAAAATGCAGACTTATCCCAATTTTGAGCAAAATAACAGTTTGGAATCCCAGATAAATCCCTGTGATGTCAATTTTTATTAACACCTTGCAACATGTCAGTCTGAAGCATAATTAATATATTTCAAGCATTTTTTGGGACGAATTATGTTTTTCGATAAGGTCTGAGCCACCTCCTCAAATAACAAATGGACAGTTGAATTTTTGATAGCCTGTGAAATTGTGAAATGTTTTAAATTCAGACAGTGTTTGTGTATGAATATCGTTTTCAACCTTGAGTTTTTCAAATTTGTATCAAATCATACATTACTCTGATTTCATTATGAAGTTGAATATTTCATATAAAAAAAGCAATTTGGGGTGTGTTTGTATAATATGCACCTGGTTAAAAGGGAAGCGCCATCCCCTCTAGACTGTCACAAGCACTGCATCCGATTTCATGATGCAGAGATTCAGAGGAAGCATTGGAAAGCGTAGTCCAATAACTGCTACCATGGAGCTATAGCAACTTGATGATTGATTTCAGTTTCTCTATTGAGTATGTCACTAAGTGTCAAAAACAAATTAACACAGTATATACACTTTCAAGAAATGGCTACTTTTATGGAGTTATTTTGTAAGCGGTGCTTAACGGTTTTTAGGTACGATAAACTACGGTTATAACGAACACGTTTATAATGAACTGACCAATATAAGGAACTTATTTTTTAGTCCCGGCCATTTGATGTATATATGCTTATAACGAACTACGGTTATAACAAACTAAAATTAGTGGTCCCTTTGAGTTCGTTATAACCGTATTTTACTGTACATATGTTATTGTGAGTGAAGTTTAAATTTAGCACACTAGCACTATTGCACGTTGACTTGCATCCCCCAGCATGTAGTGAACATGGGAGAGCGGAGGAGTGCTTGTTCAAGCCTCCTTCTGAAGCAGGCTTGATGTATATGTGCACTGTGATGTTGAAGGCTTGCATGACAAGGTGTGAAACTGCAGGAGAGTCAAAGCTTCTCTCACTATATGTCTTACAAATGATGACTTGATCCTATTATTGTTATATATGCTGTTGAATGATGTTAACCTTTGTAACAGCCTTTGGAATGCCTGCCACTATTATTACTTACCCTAAGCTTTTTGACACTTGTGAATGTTGATCATGCCATTCCTGTAAGTAACCATGGAAACATATAGCAAATTGGTTGACTAACCTTAACCTTTTGACTCACCCGAATGACCTAAAAATATAACAATAATGAATGCTATCACTGTCAGTAACCATGGCAACGCTGTCTTGGCTTGAATCCTTGGCATGCCGATAATCCCTGCATCTTTAAAACTCACCATTCTGACAAGTGATGGTTGTCCCAGGTTCTTGGAGACTGTTTATTCTTTCAGTCATGCCCACTCCAAGCAGGCAATTCCAAACGCTGTTGCTGCCGCCTCCGCCCATGAGGTCCATGATACCGGGCAAAAGCTGTCGCTTCAGCGTAAATCCATTTTGTCTTCCAGAAGGTTTGCCCACCAAGGAAAGCGTATTACTTAATTTATTACTCACCGGTGAAGACCGTAACCATGGTTACAAAGTCAACTCAACTCTCCAACGAATGCGTGGGGTAAGAATGAACTTGAAAATTTGAGACAACTAAAAGAGATAGAAAGATATGAATCTCTTTCCTTCATTTTAATATTTAAGAACACTAAAACTAAAGATACTATGTTCCCCACAGCCACTAAAACTAAACATACTATGTTCCACACAGCCACTTAAACTAAACATACTATGTTCCACACAGCCACTAAAACTAAACATACTATGTTCCACACAGCCACTAAAACTAAACATACTATGTTCCACACAGCCACTAAAACCAAACATACTATGTTCCACACAGCCACTAAAACTAAACATACTATGTTCCACACAGCCACTTAAACTAAACATACTATGTTCCACACAGCCACTAAAACTAAACATACTATGTTCCACACAGCCACTAAAACTAAACATACTATGTTCCACACAGCCACTAAAACTAAACATACTATGTTCCACACAGCCACTAAAACTAAACATACTATGTTCCACACAGCCACTAAAACCAAACATACTATGTTCCACACAGCCACTTAAACTAAACATACTATGTTCCACACAGCCACTAAAACTAAACATACTACAGTCAAGTCTCGTTAATCCGACACTCGTTAATCCGACAATCGGCTTTATCCGACGCTAATGATGGGAACCGATTAAATCAGTGCTATTTAGACCCGTTAATCCGACAGTCTCGCACTCCGACTCCGACACACCTAATTTGCAACGAATTACCGAAATCACTCTTTAATCAGTCTCGTTTATCCGACACAGTCATCAGCGTACTCCCTGGTCATCTGCCCGCGAGTACGCAGCCCATGTTTTTGATGCGAGACGAATTGGCTGGTAGCTGCATATTACAACGGCTGCAGAGATAAACTTGCTTAACAATAAACAATTAATGCTTTAAATAAAAAGAAAACAAGATAAATCACATGCTTAGATTAACTCAGTCTACAGTCAATGTAACATAACAATATTAATATTTATTTTATTTTTTTTATTACGTGTTTGAATCCTTATATCCATCGTGTAGTTGTCCGATTTTCGATCACGAACGTTGATACTACTTAATTTCGTTTATCCGACATACTCGTTAATCCGACATAATCATATGCAACCATCGATGTCGGATTAACGGGACTTGACTGTATGTTCCACACAGCCACCGCCACTAAAACTAAACATACTTTGTTCCACACAGCCACTATAACTAAACATACTATGGTCCACACAGCCAAAGCATGACGTCAAAACCTATTCCCACTTTTCATGAGGCCAAAGTGGAAACATGATAAGAATCATTACTGAAATATCCTGCGCTGTGTACGGGTTCCTACCCAAGAAACAGGCACTAGTAACAGGACAGTTAATGTGGAGGGGGAAATCCCACAGATAATGTACAACATTCCTCGGGATGGATATATAAAATCCTGGGGAATCGCCTTGATTTTCTGGAGATATTACGTCAGGTCAAGAACTGTGATGATCCGGAGTAGAATAGGCCTTCAGCAACCCATGCTTGCCATAAAAGGTGACTATGCTTGTCGTAAGAGGCGACTAATTGGATTGGCTGGTCAAGCTTGCTGACTTGGTTGATGCATGTCATGGTATCCCAATTGGGTGGATCGATGCTCATGATGTCAATCACTGTATTGTCAGTCCAGACTTGATTATTTACAGACGGACGTCATATTGCTGGAATATTGCCGAGTGCAACATTAAACAACAAACAAATAAACAAACAAACAAAACTTTAGGTCATCTTCGTGGGGTTTAGCCCATTGCATGGAGAACAAAGATTGGATGTCACTGTGTATAAAAGTGTAGTTGCAACAACAATGGAAGAGACAAAGCAGAGCCCGGTTGTTCTTGCAACTATTTAGTCTGTACTTGAGCCAAGTAGCCAAAATAGCTACCAGCCAAATGCTTGTGCATTGCAATATGTTTGGTCAGATGCCTTTCATTTACATAAAGTAGGCACAGTTGGGTCATCATCCAGAACACGAGTGAGTGAGTGAGTTTGGTTTTTACACCGCTTTTAGCAATATTCCAGCATTATCACAGTGGGGGACACCAGAAATGGGCTTCACACATTGTATCCATGTCGGGATTCGAACCCGGGTCTTCGGCGTGACGAGCGAATGCTTTAACCACTAGGGTACCTGACCACCCCCCAGAACTAAAGACTCTCAGGTGCTTGGGGGGTGTAAGACCATCTTCTCCTCGGTTTCCTTCCCTCATATTGTGCTGATGCTATAAGGGCTTCTGCAAATGATGATGTCCTGAAAAATAGCTTTACCGTTCTATAGCTAAAATGGATAGAATTTATCAAATGAAAATAAATCACAATATCGGTTTTGAAAAATTTACTGCAATCAATGAATGTCACTGACCCACTTTTACAACTATGGAAATGTCACCGAGCAAACCTGATGACGTCACTATTGAACGTGATGTCACCTAACAGCAGGCCATTCGTGACCAACTCGTGTTATTCCGGATGCCCCTCTCATGGCCATTTTTGCGATCGGGTTCCGTCTTTGCGCAAACGGGCATACCTAAAATAATTGTCAACTCGTCGCGTTATGGTTCACATGTATTTACCCATAAATTATATATATTTCAGATGCAATTTAAAGCACATCGGGACATGTGGAATTATACAATATGATTGAACACATTTAACTGTGCCTTGGGTATAGTTTTAGATGCAAGATATATGTAAAATCAAAACTTATTTCTGAGGGATTCTTTGACGAAGAATCATACGCGCATTCGGATTGGTTTGTCGTATTTTCGCACATAACATTCATCGATAGGGGGATGAGTCTTCTTGCAGGTTACGGAAAGAGGCGAGTGCTGTCGAATGAACAGCAGGCATGATAGTGGCCCGTTGTCAAGCAATAAGAGGGCATTATCAAATTACAGTGGCCCGCTCATTTCTGATAACATGCAGGCAGTTTAAGGATAATTCTATCCACTTTAGCTATTAATCGTGATATACTGTTCAAAGTGGTGTTAAAACCCAACTCACTCAGTTACATACAGGTTATAGTACCTACTTCAGCATTAAACAGATTTTATTCATTGACTAAATAGATATCTCCATATCCGTTTAGACTTGGTGTTAACAGCACTTAGAGAAGGGTATTGGTTATACCATGCATCATGTCAGCAGAATGTTGGAGAAAAGCCAGGCGTGTTGCAGATCTCGGACATTTACAAACATTTACAGAGGTATAGCAGTGGCAAACCAGGAAATGAAACGATTTTACCTGGGATTCAAAGCAACGTTATCCTTTAACCAGGGGCGGTCGGGTAGCCTTGTGGTTAAAGCGTTCGCTCGTCACGCCGAAGACCCGGGTTCGATTCCCGACATGGGTACAATGTGTGAAGCCAATTTCTGGTGTCCCCCACTGTGATATTGCTGGAATATTGCTAAAAGCGGCGTAAAACCGTACTCACTCACTCCTTTAACCATGTTCTGTTCATTTTCTTATTTCAGTTGAAACATGATACCTTGTTCACGGACTTGACTCGCCAAGACTGTGAAGTGAACGCCCCCGTGCAATCTCAACGTCTTCTGCAAGGCGAGGATCTGCGACAAGCCCTTGATGCGGACTGTCGGCTCAACAAGCGCAACCTGGCGGCCGTCATGTAGTCAAGTGGCAACCTCGACCTCTACGAGGTGGGAACACGACTTAGACACGGGGAAGCAACTTGCCCCCGATTGTGCAGCTTCTGGTTAGCACTGATCTGCACGCTTGTAGGATAGTACGATAGACTGCCCCGGGGCAGACTTCTTGGATAAATGAGATTTGATTATCTTCCCTAGCCAGTGTAAACAGGCACTAATATTGGTTTACTTATTCTTGATGGTTTCCTGTGTAATCATGTCATGTGTTTTATTGGTATTTTGCTGCAGACACTTTCGCTATATAGGAAAGTGTTCTTGTTCATTGGACTGCAGAGTGGATTTGTTTCAACAAGAGGTTTAATCTCTTGACTTTCTTTTTTGCTTCACAGAATCATTATTTCGCTTTCATTATGACCATGGATGGGTCATTTCGTGCACAAAGAAATTTTTTGTCGTCTTTTTGCATCAGCGACAGTTGATGTGAGATAGGTGAAGAGGAATTCTTTTCCAAATAAATTGGACAGACGGTCCATGAACATTTGGGACATCGTCCATTCTATTGTCCATCCATCATCCACAACCTTTTTATGTTTTATACTTAATTTCCAAGACCTCCGGTTAACAGATAAATGTTTTTTAACAGAAAAACGATTAAAATTCAGAATTAAATTATTTGCTTTGTTTTGTAAAATTGTGTTCAGCTTCTTTACATTTTAAGCCCAGTAAGACGTGAAATAACATAGGGCAGTTTATCTTAAGAAATGTACACTAAAGTCGAACTTTACAAATATTCAGACAGCCTTGTGATGTGTTTTATGTAATGTGTGCTGTCTTGTTTGTAAATGATATGACAGCCTTTGAAATTCACACGTCTGCTAGCCGAGACTGTATGGTGCCGAGGACAAGTGAACCTCCAATGATGGTAGCCCTCGTTGGTGTATCATTGCATCAATTTTTCAAATCATTGAAACTGAATAAAACTGATTGAAAATGTAAAAATATTAAACATTTTCGTCTCGATCTAGCAGGACTAGCTACAATCTCAGAGGACTAGTGAAATAAAGTTTCCTCTGGACAAGTTTTAAAAAATCCAATTTCTGAGGATGACTGACATTTAATTGTTTCTGCTGATAGACTGTTTTCATAGCTGACCAGGACGCTGTTCCACAAAGGGATCTTGTCTATTTTGAATAGACTTATAGGAGAGGATCGTCTTAGCACTAATATAGTTTGGTGAACCAACAATGCGGTTTAATCATTACAACTGTCTTAAGTTGATGTTAAATTAAAGTGTAGAGTAACGATCGCCTGAGTGCTAAGATCACTTTGCGGAACGGGGTCCAGCATTGTGGTTCTGGATATGTATAGAGCATGTTGATGTGCTTTAAAAAGAATCTTAATCACATATTTGACCACCATTGTGCCATTCTGTGTCTGGTTTGGCGGATTCATGTCAAACAGGCATTATCGTATTGTTATTTGTTGTATTATGAAATATATATAAATATTATACTGAAAATGTCAAAAAAAAAGAGAATGATTCGTAGAACAGAATGTGGTTTTTATTGGAGTGTAGTGGGACCAAGCTCACTGCCAGCATTACCATGGAAACAACACATGATTAATATGCCTGAATTTCACCCAATCAAAATGAAGTATTGGGAGGTGATACGCAGCTGATATAAAAGTTCATGGAAAACAGCACAAGAATGACAGAACAGTTCTTCCCTGTAGTTCAAATCTCATATACTTAACTTTGACTTGATCTAGTCTCATCTCATCCCACATCACATCAGCGTTGCTGTTAACAAGTTGTTGCTATGTTCTGTAGTGTATGCTATCAAGAATGTGGCTGAGTCTGTTGGACACAGTGATTGATCATGGATTATTCACTCTGATATTGGCAATATTATTCTTCAGATCATGCTACAGAATTGAAAAATTTGTAATTTTTTAATGTTTTGAAAATTCACATTTTCATGATGTTGGTATTGGAGAGAGTGGAGTATTTTTTAATGGACATGGTTTGAAATACAACTTAGATTTGTTACAATTGTACTTGAATATATGTAAAACATAGATTTCTCACAGTTGTTTCAATTTGGTCATGTTAAGAAAAGTTTTGAAATCACTCTCGCAACAGAGAGCTTCACTTATACTCGCATATTTTTAATATTCTCCCATATTTTTCAGATGCATTTTGTTACAAATATTTGACACAGTGTGTTATTAATGGTATTATTATGATAGAAATAAAGTCATCTTTATTCCAGTGTTAGTGGTGTTGTTATGCAGCGGCTTCATGATGCTGGGAGACAGACATGGGGAATATAGCCCTCGGGACACACCTGGGAGACACACACCTGGGAGACAGACATGGGGAATATAGCCCTCGGGACACACCTGGGAGACAGACATGGGGAATATAGCCCTCGGGACACACCTGGGAGACAGACATGGGGAATATAGCCCTCGGGACACACCTGGGAGACAGACATGGGGAATATAGCCCTCGGGACACACCTGGAAGACAGACATGGGGAATATAGCGCTCGGGACACACCTGGGAGACAGACATGGGGAATATAGCCCTCGGGACACACCTGGGAGACAGACATGGGGAATATAGCCCTCGGGACACACCTGGGAGACAGACATGGGGAATATAGCCCTCGGGACACACCTGGGAGACAGACATGGGGAATATAGCCCTCGGGACACACCTGGGAGACAGACATGGGGAATATAGCGCTCGGGACACACCTGGGAGACAGACATGGGGAATATAGCCCTCGGGACACACCTGGGAGACAGACATGGGGAATATAGCCCTCGGGACACAACTAGGAAACACACACCTAGTGTACACACCTGGGAGACAGACATGGGGAATATAGCCCTCAGGACACAACTAGGAAACACACACCTATTGGACACACCTGGCAGACAGACATGGGGAATATAGCCCTCGGGACACAACCAGGAGACACCCGCCTAGTGTACACACCTGGTAGACAGACATGGGGAATATAGCCCTCAGGACACAACTAGGAGACAGACATGGGGAATATAGCCCTCGGGACACAACTAGGAAACACACACCTAGTGTACACACCTAGGAGACAGAAATGGGGAATATAGCCCTCGGGACACAACTAGGAGACACACACCTAGTGCACACACCTGGGAGACAGACATGGGGGAATATAGCCCTCGGGACACAACTAGGAAACACACACCTAGTGTACACACCTGGCAGACACACATGGGGAATATAGCCCTCGGGACACAACTAGGAGACACACACCTAGTGAACACACCTGGCAGACAGACATGGGGAATATAGCCCCCGGGACACAACTAGGAAACACACACCTAGTGTACACACCTAGGAGACAGAAATGGGGAATATAGCCCTCGGGACACAACTAGGAGACACACACCTAGTGCACACACCTGGGAGACAGACATGGGGGAATATAGCCCTCGGGACACAACTAGGAAACACACACCTAGTGTACACACCTGGCAGACACACATGGGGAATATAGCCCTCGGGACACAACTAGGAGACACACACCTAGTGAACACACCTGGGAGACAGACATGGGGAATATAGCCCCCGGGACACAACTAGGAAACACACACCTAGTGTACACACCTAGGAGACAGAAATGGGGAATATAGGCCTCGGGACACAACCAGGAGACACCCACCTAGTGTACACACCTAGGAGACAGAAATGGGGAATATAGCCCTCGGGACACAACTAGGAGACACCCACCTAGTGTACACACCTAGGAGACAGAAATGGGGAATATAGCCCTCAGGACACAACCAGGAGACACCCACCTAGTGTACACACCTAGGAAACAGACATGGGGAATATAGCCCTCGGGACACACCTGGGGGACAGACATGGGGAATATAGCCCTCGGGACACAACTAGGAGACAAACACATAGTGTACACACCTAGGAGACGGAAATGGGGAATATAGCCCTCAGGACACAACCAGGAGACACCCACCTAGTGTACACACCTAGGAAACAGACATGGGGAATATAGCCCTCGGGACACACCTGGGAGACAGACATGGGGAATATAGCCCTCGGGACACAACTAGGAAACACACACCTAGTGTACACACCTAGGAGACAGACATGGGGAATATAGCCCTCGGGACACAACTAGGAAACACACACCTAGGAGACAGACATGGGAGACAGACATGGGGAATATAGCCCTCGGGAAACAAGAAGGAAACACACACCTAGGAGACAGACATGGGAGACAGACATAGGGAATATAGTCCTCGGGACTCAACTAGGAAACACACAACTAGAGAACACACCTGGGAGACAGACATGGGGAATATAGCCCTCGGGACACAAGAAGGAAACACACACCTAGGAGACAGACATGGGAGACAGACATGGGGAATATTGCCCTCGGGACACAACTAGGAAACACACACCTAGAGAACACACCTGGGAGACAGACATGGGGAATATAGCCCTCGGGACACAACTAGGAAACACACACCTAGGAGACAGACATGGGAGACAGACATGGGGAATATAGCCCTCGGGACACAACTAGGAAACACACACCTAGTGAACACACCTGGGAGACAGACATGGGGAATATAGCCCTCGGGACACGACTAGGAAACACACACCTCGTGAACACACCTAGGAGACAGACATGGGGAATATAGACCTCGGGACACAACTAGGAGACACACACCTAGTGAACACACCTGGGAGACAGACATGGGGAATATAGGCCTCGGGACACACCTAGGAGACACACACCTAGTGGACACAACTGTGAGACACAGCTAGTGGACACAGCTGTGAGACACACACCTAGTGTACACAGCTGTGAGACGCACACTTAGTGGACACAGCTGTGAGACACACACCTAGTGTTCATAACTGTGAGACACACACCTAGTGGACACAGCTGTGAGACGCACACTTAGTGGACACAGCCATGAGACACACACCTAGTGTACACAGCTGTGAGACGCACACATAGTGGACACAGCTGTGAGACACACACCTAGTGTTCATAACTGTGAGACACACACCTAGTGGACACAGCTGTGAGACGCACACTTAGTGGACACAGCTGTGAGACACACACCTAGTGGAGACAGCTGTGAGACACTCACCTAGTGGACACAGCCATGAGACACACACCTAGTGTACACAGCTGTGAGACGCACACTTAGTGGACACAGCTGTGAGACACACACCTAGTGGAGACAGCTATGAGACACACACCTAGTGGACACAACTGTGAGACGCACACTTAGTGGACACAGCTGTGAGACACACACCTAGTGGAGACAGCTGTGAGACGCACACCTAGTGGACACAGATGTGAGACACACACCTAGTGGACACAGCTGTGAGATGCACACCTAGTGGACATAGCTGTGAGATGCACACCTAGTGGATACAGCTGTGATACGCACACCTAGTGGAGACAGCTATGAGACACACACCTAGTGGACACAGCTGTGAGACGCACACCTAGTGGAGACAGCTATGAGACACACACCTAGTGGACACAGATGTGAGACGCACACCTAGTGTACACAGCTGTGAGATGCACACCTAGTGGATACAGCTGTGATACGCACACCTAGTGGACACAGCCATGAGACACACACCTAGTGTACACAGCTGTGAGATGCACACCTAGTGGATACAGCTGTGAGATGCACACCTAGTGGATACAGCTGTGAGACGCACACCTAGTGTACAGAGCTGTGAGACACACACCTAGTGTACATAACTGTAAGAAACACACCTAGTGTACAGAGATGTGAGACGCACACCTAGTGGACACTACTACGAGGCACATGCCTAGTGTACACAGCTGTGAGACGCACACCTAGTGGACACAGCTTTGAAATGCACACCTATTGGACACAGCTGTGAGACACACACCTAGTGGACACAGCTTTGAAATGCACACCTAGTGGACACAGCTGTGAGACACACACCTAGTGGACACAGCTGTGAGATGCACACCTAGTGGACACAGCTGTGAGACACACACCTAGTGTACACAGCTGTGAGACACACACCTAGTGTACATAACTGTGAGACGCACACCTAGTGGACACAGCTGTGAGACACACACCTAGTGGACGTAACTGTGAGACGCACACCTAGTGGACACAGCTGTGAGACACACACCTAGTGGACGTAACTGTGAGACACACACCTAGTGGGTACAGCTGTGAGACGCACACCTAGTGGACATAACTGTGAGACGCACACCTAGTGGACATAACTGTGAGACACACACCTAGTGGGTACAGCTGTGAGACGCACACCTAGTGGACATAACTGTGAGACACACACCTAGTGGGTACAGCTGTGAGACGCACACCTAGTGGACACAGCTGTGAGAAACACACCTAGTGGACGTAACTGTGAGACACACACCTAGTGGACACAGCTGTGAGATGCACACCTAGTGGACACAGCTGTGAGACACACACCTAGTGTACACAGCTGTGAGACACACACCTAGTGTACATAACTGTGAGACACACACCAAGTGGACGTAACTGTGAGACACACACCTAGTGGGTACAGCTGTGAGACGCACACCTAGTGGACACAGCTGTGAGACACACACCTAGAGTACACAGCTGTGAGACGCACACCTAGTGGACATAACTGTGAGACACACACCTAGTGGACACAGCTGTGAGACACACACCTAGTGTACACAGCTGTGAGACGCACACCTAGTGGACATAACTGTGAGACACACACCTAGTGGACACAGCTGTGAGACGCATACCTAGTGGACATAACTGTGAGACACACACCTAGTGGACACAGCTGTGAGACGCACACCTAGTGGACATAACTGTGAGACACACACCTAGTGGACACAGCTGTGAGACGCACACCTAGTGGACATAACTGTGAGACACACACGTAGCATAACGAACTGAACTGGGAGACAACCCTGGAAGATACACACCTGGGGGATACATCTAACTGTGAGACAACCCAGGAAGATACACACCTGGGGGATACATCTAACTGGGAGACAACCCTGGAAGATACACACCTGGGGGATACATCTAACTGGGAGACAACCCAGGAAGATACACACCTGGGGGATACACCTAACTGGGAGACAACCCTGGAAGATACACACCTGGGGGATACATCTAACTGGGAGACAACCCAGGAAGATACACACCTGGGGGATACATCTAACTGGGAGACAACCCAGGAAGATACACACCTGGGGGATACATCTAACTGGGAGACAACCCTGGAAGATACACACCTGGGGGATACATCTAACTGGGAGACAACCCTAGAAGATACACACCTAGTGGACAGACCTAACTGGGAGACAACCCAGGAAGATACACACCTGGGGGATACATCTAACTGTGAGACAACCCTGGAATATACACACCTGGGGGATACATCTAACTGTGAGACAACCCAGGAAGATACACACCTAGGGGATACACCTAACTGGGAGACAACCCTGGAAGATACACACCTAGGGGATACACCTAACTGGGAGACAACCCTGGAAGATACACACCTGGGGGATACATCTAACTGGGAGACAACCCTGGAAGATACACACCTGGGGGATACATCTAACTGGGAGACAACCCAGGAAGATACACACCTAGGGGATACACCTAACTGGGAGACAACCCTGGAAGATACACACCTAGTGGACAGACCTAACTGTGAGACAACCGAGGGAGGAACACACCTAGGGGACATACCTAGTTGGTAGACAACCCTGGAAGATACACATCTAGGGGACACACCTAGTTGGGAGACAACCTTGGAAGATACACACCTAGGGGACCCATCTAACTGGGAGACAACCCTGGAAGATACACACCTAGGGGACACACCTAGTTGGTAGACAACCCTGGACGATACACACCTAGGGGACACACCTAGTTGGGAGACAACCTTGGAAGATACACACCTAGGGGACCCATCTAACTGGGAGACAATCCTGGAAGATACACACCTAGGGGACACGCCTAACAGGGAGACAACCCTGGAAGATACACACCTAGGGGACACACCTCACAGGGAGACCACCCTGAAAGATACACACTTAGGGGACACGCCTAACAGGGAGACAACCCTGGAAGATACACACCTAGGGGACACACCTAACAGAGAGACAACCCTGGAAGATACACACCTAGGGGACACAACTAACTGGGAGATAACCCTGGAAGATACACACCTAGGGGACACACCTAGCTGGGAGACAACCCTGGAAGATACACACCTAGGGAATACACCTAGTTGGGAGACAACCCAGGAAGATACACACCTAGGGAATACACCTAGTTGGGAGACAACCCTGGAAGACACACACCTAGGGGACCCATCTAACTGGGAGACAATCCTGGAAGATACACACCTAGGGGACAGACCTCACAGGGAGACAACCCTGGAAGATACACACCTAGGGGACACACCTCACAGGGAGACCACCCTGAAAGATACACACTTAGGGGACACGCCTAACAGGGAGACAACCCTGGAAGATACACACCTAGGGGACACACCTAACTGGGAGATAACCCTGGAAGATACACACCTAGGGGACACAACTAACTGGGAGATAACCCTGGAAGATACACACCTAGGGGACACACCTAGCTGGGAGACAACCCTGGAAGATACACACCTAGGGAATACACCTAGTTGGGAGACAACCCAGGAAGATACACACCTAGGGAATACACCTAGTTGGGAGACAACCCTGGAAGACACACACCTAGGGGATACACCTAACTGGGAGACAACCCTGGAAGATACACACCTAGTGGACAGACCTCACAGGGAGACCACCCTGAAAGATACACACTTAGGGGACACGCCTAACAGGGAGACAACCCTGGAAGATACACACCTAGGGGACACACCTAGCTGGGAGACAACCCTGGAAGATACACACCTAGGGAATACACCTAGTTGGGAGACAACCCAGGAAGATACACACCTAGGGAATACACCTAGTTGGGAGACAACCCTGGAAGACACACACCTAGGGGATACACCTAACTGGGAGACAACCCTGGAAGATACACACCTAGTGGACAGACCTAACTGTGAGACAACCCTGGAAGATACACACCTAGGGGACACACCTAGTTGGAAGACAACCCTGGAAGATACACATCTAGGGGACACACCTAGTTAGGAGACAACCCTGGAAGATACACACCTAGGGGACACACCTCACAGGGAGACAAGCCTGAAAGATACACACCTAGGGTACACGCCTAACAGGGAGACAACCCTGGAAGATACACACCTAGGGGACACAACTAACTTGGAGATAACCCTGGAAGATACACACCTAGGGAATACATCTAACAGGGAGACAACTCTGGAAGATACACACCTAGGGAATACACCTAACTGGGAGACAACCCTGGAAGATACACACCTGGGGGACACACCTAGTTGGGAGACAACCCTGGACGATACACACCTAGGGGACACACCTAGTTGGGAGAAAACCCTGGAAGATACACACCCAGGGGACACACCTAACTGGGAGACAACCCTGGAAGATACACAACTAGGTGACCCACCTAACAGGGAGAGAACCCTGGAAGATACACACCTAGGGGACACACCTAGTTTGGAGACAACCCTGGAAGATACACACCTAGGGGACACACCTAACAGGGAGACAACCCTGGAAGATACACACCTAGGGGACACACCTAGTTGGGAGACAACCCTGGAAGATACACACCCAGGGGAGACAACTAACAGGGAGACAACCCTGGAAGATACACACCTAGGGGACACGCCTAACAGGGAGACAACCCTGGAAGATGCACACCTAGGGGACACACCTAGTTGGGAGACAACCCTGGAAGATACACATCTAGGGGACACACCTTACAGGGAGACAACCCTGGAAGATACTCATCTAGGGGATACACCTTGTTGGGCGACAATCCTGGAAGATACACACCTAGGGGACACGCCTAACAGGGAGACAACCCTGGAAGATACACACCTAGGGGACACACCTAACAGGGAGAGAACCCTGAAAGATACACACCTAGGGGACACGCCTAACAGGGAGACAACCCTTGAAGATACACACCTAGGGGACACACCTTACAGGGAGACAACCCTGGAAGATACATACCTGGGGGACACAACTAACTGGGAGATAATCCTTGAAGATACACACCTAGGGAATACACCTAACAGGGAGACAACCCTTGAAGATACACACCCAGGGGACACGCCTAACAGGGAGACAACCCTTGAAGATACACACCTAGGGGACACACCTTACAGGGAGACAACCCTGGAAGATACATACCTGGGGGACACAACTAACTGGGAGATAATCCTGGAAGATACACACCTAGGGAATACACCTAACAGGGAGACAACCCTGGAAGATACACACCCAGGGGACACGCCTAACAGGGAGACAACCCTTGAAGATACACACCTAGGGGACACACTTAACTGGGAGACAACCCTGGAAGATACACACCTAGGTGACCCACCTAACAGGGAGATAACCCTGGAAGATACACACCTAGGGGACACACCTAACAGGGAGACAACCCTGGAAGATACACACCTAGGGGACACACCTAACAGGGAGACAACCCTGGAAGATACACACCCAGGGGACAGACCTAACTGGGAGACAACCCTGGAAGACACACACCTAGGGGACACACCTAACTGGGGGACAACCCTTGAAGATGCACACCTAGGGGACACCCCTTACTGGGAGATAACCCTGGAAGATACACATCTAGGGGACACACCTAACTGGGGGACAACCCTTGAAGATACACACCTAGGGGACACACCTAACAGGGAGATAACCCTTGAAGATACACACCTAGGGGATACACCTAACTGGGAGACAACCCTTGAAGACACACACCTAGGGGACACACCTAACTGGGAGACAACTCTGGAAGACACACACATATGTTTTATGCATATATATTGAATTTGAAATTGTGAATATTTTGTAAATACCAGGGAGAGGGCATTCTAAGTTGGAAGGACTTGTCCCCCAATCCCGTTCACTCCTTGTGAATAAATATGTTTAAATCAAATCAAAATCAGACACACACCTAGGGGACACACCTAACTGGGGTACAACTCTGGAAGATACACACCTAGTTAAGGTGGCACATAAGTACGGTGGCCAATAAGTACGGTGGCCCATAAGAGACATGGAGTCTGTTTTTCCATATTTAGATATTTCACTTACTTTTGTCGTTACCTTTTGCAAATTAACTCGATTTGTCATACAAATATGTGATAAATCATGTGTAAAGAAGATATTGAATCGCAGAAAAGTGAAACGAAAATGTCAAAAACTAAAATGAAAATGTCAAAAAACAAAAACGATAATGTCAAAAATTAAAATGAATATTTCAAAAACAAAAGCGAAAATGTCAAAAACTAAAATGAAAATACAGAAAACTATTTCCACCGCGGTGAAAACTATTTCCACCACGGTGGAAATATTATCATCGCGGTTGAAATAATTTTCTGTGGTTTCATTTTAGTTTTTGACATTTTCATTTAGGGAATACACCTTACTGGGAGACAACCCTGGAAGATATACACCTAGGGAATACATCTAACTGGGAGACACATCCGCAGATTCACCTCAGGGACACTCATAGATTAATGTTATAACATATATCAGCTACTGATGTACAGCAAGAAAGGACACAAGGGATACAGAGAAGATACCCTATAAAACAGATTTCAAATTCGTTCCTAGCACAAGAAGCTGTCCCAAGAACCAGACAATCCAGTGATTGACATCTCGAGCATCATTCTACACAACTGGGATATGAGGACAAGCTTGGGTTGCTGAAGATAAATTCTAACCCCAGATCAGCAAGACCACAAGGGACACATATTGTACTACAAGTGCCAACATAGCAGTATGCACAAGGGTCATGCTTAGGGGATGCTCTCGACCCGGAGCACCTCGCATAATGGTCAAACTTCCATGATGGAACCTCCTTATCTTTCAGGTCACCCAGTGATCTGAACTGACACTATTACTGTGCAGAGTTGCTTCCCTTGCATTTAGAACTAGCTCTACACCATGTAAATGGTTTATTGGTTACCAAGCAGATGGTGTCAATATATTTTGGAGTAAACAAAAGTTTTAATGCCTGGTCGATATCAAGGTAATTGAATTCAACAAACCCTACTTTTCATAACCAACTACTGATGTCAATGTTTGATGATATTTATAAATATAATTTCAGTGGGAGATTACCCATCATGTTAACTCTCTTGCCAAAACACTTCAGCAATCTTTTAGTCCACCATCCGTGATTTATATGTGGAGTTGCGCCCCCTGTCCGTGACGGGATCAGCTAGTCATGTGTTCGAATCCTGGATTCGCCCAAATAATAGTTATTCTTGGTTTGTGAATATTGTTTTGCACACGTGACCTAGTCATCTTATAATAAGCTGGTGCGCCGTCATTACTAAAACACTGTTTTAAGAGGCGTTAAATCCAACTGACCACTCACCCAGAACGTTACCAACGCAGGAGAGAAATATTGCCCCCCCCCCCCCCCCCCCCCAAAAAAAAATAAAATAAAATAAAATAAATAAAAATAAATAATAAAAATAAATAAATATATATTGTTTTGTTTTGTTGTTGTTTAACGCTGCACTCAGCAATATTCCAGCTATATGACGGCGGTCTGTAATTAATCGAGTCTGGACCAGGCAGTCCAGTGATTGACAACATGAGCATCGATCCATGCAAATGAGTGAGTATGGTTTTACGCCGCTTTTAGCAATATTCCAGCAATATCACGGCGGGGGACACCAGAAATGGGCTTCACACGTTGTACCCATGTCGGGATTCGAACCCGGGTCTTCGACGTGACGAGCGAACGCTTTAACCACTAGGCTACCCGACCGCCCCCGATCCACGCAATTGGGATCGATGACATGCATCAACTAAGTCAGCGAGCCTGACCACCCGACCCCGTTAGTCGCCCAAAATGAGTATTGTTCTGTGAATGTCAAAGTGATAAAGTGCTGTCACGAACTCTTTCCGAAAGAAAGATGAAAATTGCCGGAAACATGCTTTCGACGTTTCGGCATTTTGACAGTGTTATCGATCTCCATTGTTTCAAATCAGTACAGCAGAGAAATATAGAATACCAAACGAGCTCCCGTGTAATACCAATTTTATGAAACAAGTGAATAATTGTGGTATCTGACGAGCGAAAGCGAGTCAGATACCACAACTATTCACGAGTTTCATAAAATTGGTTTTACACGGGAGCGAGTTTAGTATTTTATTCATTACTTGCCATTTATAACTTTTTTAGAATTATGCTGTTGAGTATGAATAGGCTGACACCTACACGATCCACGGCATAGTCAAATTGAGTTTAACAGAATAATACTTCAAGCACGTCAAAAGTTGAAACGTATGAATTTAATACCATACAACGGTCCACCTTTAGAATTCACAAAATTATCGTAGGGCTAACACTATCGCAACTCACATACTTTAACAGACTAACGACTGTCGTTGCGATCGCCTTGTGGAACGGGCCTTGCACCTCAAAGTTTACAATAACGTCACAATACCCGATGACGTAATTTGTGGAATTTTGTTACAAGATCCATCGGCGAAACAATGCCATGTGACGTCAGCCTAGCAACAAGGTTGCTGGGGTCATCGAGTGTGCATAAGCTCCTCTCAGTGATCTATCAACTTCACATCCAATGTCGTTGAATAAGCCAAGGGATGTTGAGAGCTTTCAATATTTGTTCGTGAAACGTGTTCCGAGAGTACAAAAGCACGCGTTTTGGTATTACACAATGTGTAATACAGCTGTATGTTTATTAAACGTGTGATCTCTTCACGGGCAAGTAATAAATGTGCTTTTCTCCTCACTCATTGGCGTTATCAATATTGATACATGTGTTAATCCTATGATAGAGGGACATGTCAGCATTCCTGTTTCAAGACGTTACAACACTTTCTCAAACATGAACACACGTGTAGCCATTCTGTCTTACAGACCCTGATACAAATATATCAAATACTGCCAATGCAAGTCTATAATTTTTGGCAAGTCTATATTTCTCTAGTATCAGAAAATGAAAAGAGTCTTTTTATTGAATATTCTTTAAGATAATTTAACAACTATTTTTTTGGATATTGGTCTGTCTTACAGACCCTGATACAAATATATCAAATACAGCCCATGCAAGTCTATAATTTTTGGCAAGTCTATATTTGTGCAGTATCAGAAAATGAAAAGTCTTTTTATTGAATATTCTTTAAGATAATTTAACAACTATTTTTTTGTACGATGTGTTAATTTCAGGGATTAGATGTTAGTCTTGTGTAACCATATTGGATTGTTTTATTCTAGCGATATTTTATCCTATTGATACCAACGAGGAAAACAATTACCTTTTACGGGGGTTTCAAACCACTATTTCTACGAAACTGTCATTATTAAAACAACTTCTATGTGATTGTTTGTTTGTTTGTTCTTTAACGCCGCACTCACCAATGTTCCAGCTATATGAAGGCGGTCTGTAAATAATCGAGTCTGGCCCAGACGATCCAGTAATTGACATCATGAGCATCGATCCACGCAATTGGGATACGATGACATGTATCAACCAAGTCAGCGAGCCTGACCACCCGATCCCGTCAGTCGCCTCTTATGACAAGCATGGGTTGCTGAAGACCTATTCTACCCCGGATCTTCACGGGTCCGTTCTCTTTGTGAGGTGAGGTGAGGTGAGGTGAGGTGAGGTGAGGTGAGGTTTCACGTTCATGTGAGTGAGTGAGTGAGTTCGGTTTTACGCCGCTTTTAGCAATATTCCAGCAATATCACGGCGGGGGACACCAGAAATGGGCTTCACACATTGTACCCATGTCGGGAATCGAACCCGGGTCTTCGGCGTGACGAGCTAACGCTTTAACCACTAGGCTACCCGACCGCCCCTCATGTACATGTGAGGTACATGTTTTTAATGTACAAGACAGATGCATTTCCGTTGCCAGAAATGGACCACAAGAGAATGTTTTATATTTATTATAACACAACAATCGCATTTTGAACAGGCATAATCAAGTACAAATTATTTTGCATACAGGCATGACTCAACACGTGAAGTAAAATTGTGTTTATAGGTTTGTTTGTTTGTTTGTTGTTTAACGCCTCACTCAGCAACTTCGAGCTATATGACGGCGGTCTGTAAATAATCGAGTCTGGACCAGACAATCCAGTGATTGACATCATGAGCATCGATCCATGCAATTGGGATCGATGACATGCATCAACCAAGTCAGCGAGCCTGACCACCCGATCCCGTTAGTCGCCTTTTACGACAAGCATAGTCGCCTTTTACGGCAAGCGTGGGTTGCTGAAGACCTATTCCACCCCGGATCTTCACGGGTCTGTGTTTATAGGATTTGTGTTTATAGGATACCGAACATATTTGCAACATATTCGTGCTTTTGCACCTCAAGGAGGTATGATTGCAAACGCCTGATATGAGAACGTGATACCCGTGATTGATGTACAAACAGCTTCTTCATCAGTATGGACAGCCTCCGTGGTCTAGTGGTAGAGCGTCCGCCAGGAGAGCGGAAGGTCCGGGGTTCGTTCCCCGGCCGCGTCATACCAAAAGACGTTCAAAGATGGTACTTGTTGATACCCTGTCTGGCGCTCGGCATTAAGGGGCTAGAACAAGGACTGGTCGGCTCAGAGTCAGTTTTCTGTGTCTGAGTGGGGAATACATGTTAAACTGCGGCATGGTATCTCAGTGGGCTAGTACTGTAAATCTGCATCAGTCTGGACTAGCACGTGTACAAGCAGCCACACACACCCTATTTAAGTGCAATTACCTTGGAAGCGACGTTAAACCCAATTTCACTTCACTTCATTCTCATAACGCCATAACCTTTTCAGCTCTTTTGGTATGACGCTGTCGCGGATCGAACCAAGACCTTCTGCTCTCCGGGCGGATGCTCTACCACTAACCCACGGAGGCAGTCCTCGTTGTACCAGCTTTGTCCTCCGCAACGGAGGAGGTGATTATAGGTGGTGCTATTTTGTCAAAAGTCTCTTTTTGAACTGCAACAAACACTTCCTCTATGACGCCGCAATTTGCTGCGCAGAGTTGTGTCCCTTTGGCGTGCTAGGGACCTATGATAGTGGTTTCGAATCCCTATTTGACCTGTCAGCACCATACCTGTGCTCGTGGGTTTCACCAAATAGGTCACGTCTGAGGCCTGCATCACATCAGGCTTTCCTCCCACATTAAACTGACACGTGCACTCCGTGATAAAACACAAATATCGTTCAAACCGGCGCTAACCTAACTCACTCATTCACTCTTTTCATGGATGAGGTGTCCCGTAAAGATTCCGGGATAGAATTGATCTTCATCAACCCATACTTGCCGTAAAAGGCGACTATCGGGATCAGCTGGCCAGGCTCCTGACTTGGTTGATGCACGTCATCGTATCCCAATTGCGTAGATCGATGCTCATGATGTCAATCATTGGATTGTTTGGTCCAGACTCGATTATTTGCAGGCGGCGTTAAACAAAAAAACAAACAAAACATAGTTGAGAAAGGTTTCATGCCGGGTTTTTTTATATCCCCGCAATCTCGAACCCGTCTCTTCGGGGTAACGAGCGAACGCTTAGACCCCCAGATTTCCAAACCGTATTTTCACGTATTCGTCTATTTTGTTACATCTATGTTAGCCACAAATTCAACCTAATTCATGTATCATGTCACAAATAAAATATTATAAAACGTCAGAACTAGAACTGGGACGGGTAACTCGGGTACCCGGGTCGAGTGGGTACTGAGTAGGACCCGGGTACCCACAGGACTACCCGGACCCCGTGGTAAGTCACGTGATATATTGTTTAATGACAAAATTATCTAGAACTCTATGGTTACACTACAAGTCACTAATGTTCGCATTTCTTTCTGACTCTGCTCCCATTCCTTCTGACTTTTCATATGGTTGAAT